GAGAGAGACATGGGTATATTTGTAGGCAATAGAAAACAACCAGCAGACATGGAATGATTTAAGATAGAAGGGACAATCTTTTGAACAAGACAGGATGGAATGGGATCATTTGTGCATGGAGAGAGGTTGACTTTGGCAAGAAGAGTCACTTTTTCACATGAGGTGGGTATGAAGGAGATATAGAGAAAGGCATCTGAGTGAAGTGAAATGAGGCAGAAGGGCTGAGGGAGCACTTGGTAAATGATCTCAGTTTTTTCAGTGAAATATGAGGCAAGATTCTCAGCTGAAAAGGTGAAGGAGAAGAAAGCATGGGAAGTTTGAGCAAAGGGACACAATGATTTCGAAAAAGGTCCTGTGATGAGTGGGATAGTGAATTAATTAGGGACATCTAAAAGGATTGCCTTGATTTACTCAGTCCACAGGTGAGGTTGTGGAACATAAATCTGAAGTAGACCAGTGTGGTTTTGTGATATTTTTTTCCTATTCCGTGTGAGTAGGAACAAAGGCAATAGATAGTGGGAGTAATCCAAGGCTGAGACATGAAAGGGCAAGATCTCAATAGGATAAGGGAGTGAAGGATTCAAGAGAAAAGGACTGTGTAGAGTCGAACTGGTTCACCCAGGTGTTTAATTTGAAGGAGAAAAGTATAGCAAGTAGAGGAGTGAGGGCCAGTGAAAAAGAACTGAGGAGTGAAAAAGAACTGAGGGTTGAAAGGATTGAAGGTCTCAGGACGAAGAACAGGGTTTGGAGTTTGAAGGCAGAGGACGAAGTGAAATGATATTGTGATCAGATAAGGGAATTTCAGAGTTCATGAACATAGTAGTGAAACACTTCTGGGTAATGCAAGATCAAGGGTATGACCATCTTCTAGTGTAGCTGTGGTAGGGTGGAGGAGGGGATCACGGGAAATTAGTAAGTTGAGGAACTGAGAGGTTTGAGTGTTTGAAGGAGTGTCAGTATACATGTTGAAGTCCCCTGATATGAGGGCTAGAGTTGGGAAGGAAAAAAAGACTGTGAGCCAGGCACTAAAACTCACTGAGTAAAGGACAATGTCTTGGAAGTCAGCAGATAACTAGAATCTTGATTGGGTGGTAAATATATATTGAGTGAACCTCAAAGGAAGAGAGGTTAGCTCAACTCCCTCATTTAACAGGTGAGGAACTGAGGCCCACAGAGTTAAAATGAGTGTGTCTAAAGTGTCACACACCTCAAGTGGCAGAACAAGGATTTGAACAGAGGTCCTCTGTCTCCAGCCTTTCCACTGTCATCTTCAATTATCTGAAATCCAGCATATCTAATGAGCCCCTCTCTGAAACTGACATCTCTTTCAAATTCCTCTTTTAATGATGACACAGCCCATATGAAGGCCCTTATATCATGTAGCTCAAGTGCTGCCTACCTTAACCCTATTTCATAGGCAGAGTATAATAGTATTAATCATCTAGTGATCAGTTTCCTCTGCCTATTCAGGTTAAAATCTAGTGAAAGACACATCCATCAGAAATGACAAATGCTGGAGGGAATGAGGAAAAATAGGTACACTAATAAACTATTGGTGGAGTCATGGACTAGTGTAATCATTCTAGAGAAAAATTTGGAACTATGCCCAAAAGGCTATAAAACTCTTCATATCCTCTGACCCAGCAATACCACTACTAGGGGTCTGTATCTCAAACAAATTTTAAAAAAGGAAAAGGACCTACATGTATGTGTGTGTGTGTGTGTGTGTATATGTGTATATATATATATATATATATATATATGTATATCTTTTTGTGGTAGCAAATAATTGGAAATTGAGGGGATATCCAATTGGGGAATGGCTGAAGAGTGGTGGCATGTGATTGTGATGGAGTGCTATTGTGCTATAGGAAATGATGGGGGGCGGGGTTTCCGAAAAAAACATGGAAAGATCTATATGAACAGGTACAAAGTGAATAGAGAAGAACTAGGAGGTCATGGTACACAGTAGTACACAGTAACAACAATGTCGTAATGATGATCAACTATGAAAGATATGGCTACTCCACTCAATACAATGATCCAAGGCAATTCCAAAGGACTTATGAAGTAAAAATGCTATTCACCTCCAGAGAGAGAACTGATTGAACTCTGAGCGCAAACTGAATTATAAGTTTATTTCTTGCTTTGGTTTTTTTTTTTTTTTTTTGCAATATGGCTAATATGGAAATATGTTTTGCATGATTTTGCATATATAATTGATATAATTTTGCTTGCCTTCTTGGTGGGAGAAGAGTGGGAGGGAGGGAGAAAATTTGGAACTCAGAATTTTAAAAGAATGTTTAAAATAAATAATAATTTTATTTAAAAATAAATCTAGTGAGAGTGCAATAACATAATTACCCGCCAGGTGGCAATCTACTGAAGTACCCAGCCTCTCAAGTTTCTTTCCCACGAATGTAAAGGGCAGACTTCCTAAAAGGACTGTGTATGGCCACTATTCACAACTGGAGGCTACTAAGCATGTCTTACTGCCAAGCCTATATTTTGGCTGCAGTGGCAGCACTTAAAAGGATCAACTTGTTGCAGGGTCCAAAATTAATATAGGGAATGAAACAGAATATTGTTTCTCTATAAAAGCAGCATGGAAGAGTAGGTAGAGACCTGGCTTCCCTGTAAGGAAGACTTGAGTTCAAGTCCTCCCTCTAACATATAGTATGTGAATGAAAGAGAAAGTATTTATTAAGTACTTCCTATGTTCCAGGAACAGTGCTAAGTATGAGGGATACAAAGAAGGCAAGAAAGTCCTTGTCCTCAGGGAGCTTCCATTCTAATGGAAGAAGACAAATAAAAAGGAGCTGGGAGCTGGAAGTTGTTGGGAGGGGGGGAGGAAATGGTTCCACATGGGGGTATGTACCTGGAGGCATTGAAATAGTGGCACTAGCCTGGTTCCTGGCAAGGTGAACACTCATCTAGCAGATCCCCGAGTTCCAGGGGCAAAGTCCAAGGTTTCAGTGGGAGGGTGATGAAGAGATTAAGGATGATGGCTGATCCCTTAACCTCTCAATGCCCTCAGAGAACTTTTTTTTCAAAATGTTAAAAAATTGTTATTCTGAATTTAACAAGCATCAACAGACATGAACATTTTCAAATTTAAGAATAGATCAAGACAACTGTAATGAAACCACAAATCTCTAACATTGTTCTAAGTACATATTGCATTTTTAAAAGAATATGATAAATTCAACCATTTTAAAGCTGTCTTGCTTGTATTTATCTCCTTCCAAACTTTGTCCTGTTCTCTCTGCATTTAAAAAAAATGACATAATGGCCCTTTTTTTTTGGGTTTCACCATCATTTCTTTTTCTCTTTCACAAATCCTGCACCCTCCCTGCCAAATAAGAAAAAAACCTATAACAAACACAAGCAATATCAAGTCCACAAAGTGACCACATATGTAAGTAATAAACTGCCTAACTTGTGATCTGTGGGTGCTTGTGTTCTTGCCACTTCACCCCCAATCTCTCACAACTGGTACTAGGAATGGGATACTTACTATAGGAACATGTCTTCCTGGAACAAGAAGGCAATGGGGACTCCCAAGGGCTGGAAAGAGTCTCCATGGAAAGAAGTGGGATTCTTTTTTTGTTTACTCTTTCTTCTAGCCTGCTTCCTGGCTTTGGACTTGATCTTGGGGCCAGGCCCTACACATTTCAGGAGGGAAAGTCTGGGCTGATCCTGTTGCCCAAGTTTTTAGGTATTGACTATTGTGTTATTCTAAAATCTGAGACAGCACAGGCTGGGGACCTGCAAGCTTTTAGTGCTCCCATAGTGGTCTGATCCAAGGCAAAGTCTGATTGCTGCCCTTCTAACCTGAGCTCTGTAAGTTACTAACTTGGGTGGGTGTCTGAGCAACAGAAGACTGTTGTTGGACTCAGCACCCACCAGCCAGTTGGGAAGTTCTGCTAGTTCTGAGTGATAGAACTTCAGGCTCCCCTTTGACATGGAATTTCTACCCTGGACATTTCTCTATGGGCTTCAGAGTGGGCTAGAAGCTGGAACTGAGACCTGGCTCTGTTTCTGGGGGTCTAAGACACATTCCTGCTCATTGTTTCTTAACTTGTTCCTCACAAGTAATATAGGCTATAAGGCTCCTGACCACTCCTTATTCTGGAATGCCACCCCTAGACTTAGGTACCATTCTCAATCTGCCATGAATTTATGACCCAGAACTGGGTAGTAAATGACAAAGTTGCCAGTTGGCATATATTCCTGTTGAGGTGCCCCAAGATGGATTTGGGACCTACTTTTGCCTGGGTATACAGCCTTTATCCTGCATTGCACTGCTCTATGAGGCACACTTCTAGACAGATCCCATCACTGAGGTCCACACACTAATCTGTCTCCCTATGCTGATCTGGGCTGGAAAAATGATTCACGGTGACTTTTTCTTGACCTTTCCCATCAGGATTCAGAATGGAGTATTTTTCAGATCTGTTTGGAAGAGGGTGGCACAGAGCATGCTGTACTTCTTCCAGATATTCCACGATCTTTATTCTGTCTCCAATGCTACTTGCAGGCCTTAAGCCAAGATGTCCAAATTTAAATACAAATGGGCTGAAGGCTGAAGGGACAAGATGATGGACAAGATCTAAGCCGTAGGGCGTACAATAGCCAATGAAACCAGGACTACAACTTGCTGAAGGTCCAGGAACTTCCTTGACTCATAGAGAATCCTACCACACTTATTACCCCACCCCGTATACCCACCATGCCCCAATCCCAGTGAATAAACCCCCTTCAGTCACTTTTAAAGTGGAATAACCACTGACACTAAGACTATGACTTAACCAAGTCACATCTTTTTCTAGGCCCACAAGAACTAATTATGTATTTCTTAGACAACCTCTTGAACAGAAAAGGCTTTTAGAGCTTAATGCTCAGGCTCTTCCCTTAGTGTGCAGCCTAGGGAAAAAGGCAGCTAATGATCCTATACTCAATCCCCTTTTCTCACAAGACCCAATAAAAATACTAAAATATAAATCAAATAATGAACTTTTATTAAAACACATTACAATGGGATGCAATAATCTCTTTAAAGTACATAAATAATTGTTAAAAGATTTTCCTTTTCTATTTGAGTATGCTACAATACCTGTACACTGATATGTAATATTCTGATATTATACACTGTAAATATACTATATTCCTGAGCCTGGGCAACTATACTTTCCTCTATCCCTCGTATGATCACAGATAGGAACAATGATTGCCCAATTTGCCACAGTCCTTTTTCTAGAATTTTTCAAACCATTTCACAAGTTACCATCCTTAGTAGTAACAAAACTCAATGGTTCCACTCATGCATCTCACTCTGAATTAGTCTTAATGTTTTTAAGCCTCAATATTTCTTTAAAAACTTTCTTTAAAATTTGGAACCTCTTTTTTTTTTTGGCATATGTGTCCCCGAAAAAAAAAGACAATAAAAAGTAAAAACAAAAGACAGTCTGAACTAATCCCTTAGATCTAATCTGATGTGGCCTTGCCATCAATAGACAAGCCACTCTAGCAAGAAATACATCTGGAAAACTTTAAGCAATCAGCTATTGACTGGAAGACAAAGCTCATTTCCAACAGCTATAGTTATAGCTAGTTATAACTAATAACTAGTTATTAGTTTTCAAAAATTAGACACAATATGATGAAAGAGAAAAGGTGCTTCAACATATGATATACGTAGTCTGATTCTTTAAAATTAAGTTGACTTAGAATAGCCCATTTATTTTAATGGGTAATCAGAATTGACTCAATATAGCAGAAGCCATAAAGATACTAAAATTAAAAGAAGCTGAATGTAAGCCCTGTAGAGAGCTGTGGCTGTACCTCCAAGGGGTAGAAGCCTGAACTGAGTGCTCTTGTCATCTATCTCCCCGGCAGCCCGGAGTGTTCACTGCTAGCATACTCCCATCCCCATTGGAGCCCCAGTAGGAAGATGGGAATTTGGTGGGAAAAGGGGAATGGAATGGGTCCTACCTCCCTACTCCCCCACTGAAGGGAGCTGGACAGATACCTTCCTCTATTCTGGTTGTTACAAAGAGCTAATTAAGAGCTTCTTTCAAGTCTTGCCTTCTTGGCTTCATCCTACTCGCTTCCTTTGAGTTTTGGTTTTGGGGTATAAGCGTAGGGACTGTCTCATCCTGTTTTAGCTTGATGTTGGCTCAGGCATATGAGGCATGAGAAGTCCCTAAAACACTGACCACACCTCCAGAATGCATCCATTAGGGTATTCTCACTAGAGAGGTCTATACAATCAGTGACCCATGACTCATGTCAAATTGCTACAGTAATAAAACTATTTTTTATCTATATAAAACATCTTTGAAGCACTACTTTTATGATGTGATGCTAGTTCAATGGGATGGCTACGAAATAGTATAAAGACTTGATATAAAGGCATCTTTGTTGTTTAAACTATATAGGGGTAGTAAGGAAATGTGTAAATTTTGTTTCCTGAATATTTTTAGAGGTGCTGTACTCAAGAGTTTCCTAGAAGTTCATACTTCTTTAAAAATACATTATTGATCTTTTTCCTCTGTTACACATAGCCACTCGAAATTCAACCTCTTAGAAGAGTGATTTGTACACAACTAAGTTTGGGTTCAATGAAGGATCCTATTGTCATTCAAAACTTAATGCAGTCACTTGTAGGCACTGCTCTTCCAGATGCCAGGGATATTTCATTTTTAAAGCTTTCTATGTGAAATCAAGCAGACGATAAAATGTGAGTGGCCATAAGATCAGATGATCAAGTGATGGTCACCCTTGAGCATCAATGACCTAGAAGCCAGAAGTTATTGCAGTAAGGAGACAGTACCATGGAACTTTACTGTGGTAGAGATAGAAAGTAGCCCATACTTTCTCTTTAAAATGAGTTTATGTTACACAGAGTGATTTGAGTTCTTTGAAAGGCACCAATAAAGTCTAAGGTTTTATTGCTATTATGATTACACAGGGGCCATAATGTACTATGGCACTCTGCTCAGTCAGAAAGCTTAGTCTAAGTATGTGGTTCATTGATCTTCTGGACAAATGAACACAGGAAGAAAATATCCATAAAGGTAGTACCCATCCTGCCCTCCACATCAAAATTAAACTTCTTTTTCTCTCCCAAGGAGATATCTGGTTCCCTTGAACTTGACCATGATGATCAGGACAGCACCATCTCAGACAGGAACTCTGTTTTCTTTGGCCCACTTCTTCATGATGCGAATTATGTACTCTACCTGGGTATTACCAGTGCTTCTCAGTAGATGCAACACCTCTCGAAGGGTCTCTCTGAAGAAAGGATATTTAAGGAAAAAAAGTTTCAGTTTCCACATCCTGCTCCCATACGTGCCACCGTTTCCTCTAGATCCACAAGTCCTTTTTTCACTCTTGCTCTGGCTTGGAGAGATAAGGCAGTAGGTGTCAGTCCTGCTCTTTCTGGAGTCATAGTTCAGACAGCAAGATGTAGTCTTTACCAGGGCCTCCCAACCTCTTTGCTTTGCAAATGCTATTTGGTCATGTAAAATTTATGGAAATGTTGAGGCCATTTCTACATGCCTGAAGCTATTTAATTGGTCTGGTTAATCAAATGGACACAGTTCTCTCCCTAAACATAACTAAAAGTGATATATTTGCTGGGCATTCCCAGTTTTTCATATGATAAGTAATGACTTTACAAGCTTAAAGTGAACAGGGGGAGGATTACGTACTTGGGTTCTCTGCCAGCTAATATCATTTGGAAAATGCCCACACAGGCACCCCGCTTGCCTTCCCAGTATTCAGGGTTGGGATCCAGTCTTTCCAGGACATCAAAGGCTTTGGCTGAATAGTAAAACTGGCCCATCTGAAGAAAATACAAACAAAAAGTGTTAAAGTGATAACCTGAAAGCCAAAAGTCTGCCTACAAACAGTGATTTTTTTTTGAAAATGAGGAATTTTATGAATTAGATAGGTAGGTAATGACATTTATATGTATCATTTTTCCTTGTCAAAAGCAGAATTGCTTTACATCTACATACATTTTATCAAATGGAAAAAAGCAGAATTTTGGCACAGTAAGCACTAGTTTTCTAAGATAAAACTTTACTTTCTGCAGGCATGAAGCTGCAATTTTGAAATCCCAAATTTCCACCAGTCACTCAGTCTGTTAGTCTCCTGTTCACAGAAGCGGTTGGTAAATCAGTATCTTTTTTCCCCCTTGTATCCTGTCCTTAGGTTTCAAGGCATGGAACTAATATCAATGTATACACAAAATAATGGTTATCAAGTGTGTTGCTAGACTATTCCCTGAACAGCTATCACTATGCTGTGGGAACCTTAGAAGCCTTGCACTGATTCTGTTACACTTGGGAGCATGTGCACAGACGTTAACGGCCTATCTTCTTGATTCCTCATACTATTTTCTAAAGTAGTTGTTTACATTTTTTCACCAGGACCTAAATCTACTCTCACTTAGGTTCATTTCCAGCAGATGCCCTTGACTCTTGTTTTACTGAGCATACTGAGGCCATTTAATTCGAGATTTCTTAACTTCCCTCTTCTGTAGCTAAACATCTTTTTATATCTTTAGGCATCCTTTCCTTTATTCCTCCTGCTTCTAGAGAAGAGATGGCTTTCTTACTTGCCAAGGCTGGCCATTATCCCTATACCCTCCGAACCCCTCAGGGATCTAGCTCCATAAATCATTCCCACTTTCTCTTAAATCTGTGCTTTCATTGTCCCCACTGGCTTTTTCTCCTCTGTCTACAAACCTCCCTCGACATCCCCCAACCTCTTTACCCTGATACCTAGTTGATTCAATAAAACAAATACTTATTAAATAAGCATGCACATGTGCGAGGCACTTTGATTGATAATAGAGGTACAAGGACAAAAACAAAATAGTCCCTGCCTTCGGGGAGCTTCCATTTTCCTGGGGAATGAAATATGTATATAAAACATGCAACAGAGAAGTAAATACAGGGGAATTTGAGGAGAAAAATAAAGCATTAACAACTACCGGAATTTAGGAAAGCTTCATGCAGAAAGCAGCACCTGAGCTGAACCTTGAAAGAAAATGAGGATTCCGGGAGGTGAGATTGGGGAGGAAATGCATTCCTGCGATGGGGCACAGACCATGCCAATGCATGGGAGCAGAGATACAATGCTAAATGTGGGGAATAGCTCATAGACCAGCCTGGTTGGAACATGGGGTGCATGAAGGAAATGAATGTAAAATAAGGCCAGATTGTGCAAGGCTTTAACTGCCAGGCTAAGGAGTCTGTATTTCATCCTAAAGTCCCATAAGGTTTCTAAGGAGCAAAATCACAAGGTTAGATCTGTGTCTTTGGAAGATTATTTTGCCACCTCTTTGGAGGTTGGAATGAAGAGGAGAGAGAGCAGGGAGCTGAATTAGGAGGCTATTAAAATAGTTATGGCAAGTGATAAATACCTAACGCAGGATGGTGACAGAGTAGAAAAATACAGAGGGAGAGCTAAAAAAAGGACTGAACATGGGTTGTGAGGGAAAAGGAAGAGTTAAGCATGACTCCAAAGTTCCAAACCCGGCTGACTGGGAATTTGGGGCTTCCCACAAAAAACCACTAAATTTAGAGCAGTAGATACAGTGGGAGAGATGAATTCTATTTTGGACATATTTAGGGTTTAAGATGCCCACAAAGCATCCTAGAGTTCAGAAGAAATATTAGTACTGTATATATAGATTTGGGAATCATCAGTGCAGAGATGATGATTGAACCCATAGTAGCTGAGCAGGGATAGAAAGAGAACAGGGTCTTAGGTGATACCCATACATAACAGACTGGAGATGGATTATGATGCAGCAAAGGAGACTCAAAAGGAACAATCTATCATACAGGTTGAAGGAGAAAGCCATGTTATGAAGTCAAGGGAAGAGGGAACCCAGAAACAGAGAGCAGTTAACATTATCAAAATCTGCAGAGAAGACAAAGAAAATGAGACCTGGTTTAAGAAATCACCTAACACTTGATTGAGCAGTTAAAAGATTGTTGGTAACTTTGAGGGGCAGTTTCAGTAAATGAGTAGGATCAGAAGCCAGAATGTTAGCAGTTAAGAAGTGAGTGACCTTTTGAGGAGGCAAAAGCCAGGGGGTCACATTCTTCTTCCTCTCTACATTTGTGAATATAAAGCCAGCTTTATTTTTTAAATGTCATCTAAAAACATTATCTTATACTTGGAACAATGCAGTAATATTTATCCCCAATTCCCCCTTCAACTTAGCCTAGAGAAAGGAATTCACCTTATAGCAGTCGTTAGCAATGAGTTGTAAAAGACTAAAGGACTCCCCTGATGTTTCCATCTTCAGATAGAGCTCCCAGGCTAGTCTTGGTTTCTTATTCATAATGTCTGCAAAAATAAGCACAATTTATGCTTTGAAAAGTATATAAATACCTTTCTTTATGAAGCAATTTTTCATACCATGAACTTTGTCCTATCTCACATATATGAATACACATAATGTCCCAAAAGTTTTAGCGCATTTTAAAGCTATTAAAGTTATATATAGATTTTAAGCTGTAAAAGCTTAAAGCTCCATTAAGACTTTTGGGACTCTGTGCATGTATATGTATGTATGCATGTATATGTATATGTATATATATATATGTGTGTGTACATATACATATGTATTTATATAAATGTGTGTATATGTGTGTGCGTGTATACATACCTATATACCCAGAGAGAGAAAGTAATATGTACTTTATCTCTTTTACTAAAACACAGAATGCCCTATGATATCAGTATTTACCAGTGTTCTACACTACTTAAAATGTCAGTCTTAAAAATAAATCTTTTTCCTTTAACTATGTGTATCCTATTCCTCCAGAGGACAGAAATCCATTTAAGTTAAGATCTTAAATGATCTCCCTTCAGTCCACAAATGGCTTGCTGCTTATCTATCTTTTCCTGTGCTCTGCCTCCATACACACAGCTTCCTCTCTAGCATTTACAATTCCTTGTAGGCTGTGACCAGCTTTTTTTGTGTTTGGTTTGCACTGGTCCCAATCAAGCTATAACACCTCCTCAGTTCAGCATCCACTTTTCTTTAAAAAGCTATTCCTGACTAGGCAGAAGGAAATATCGGTCAAACCCCACTTTAACAAATGCATTTAGACAAGACTTCTCTAAATGCATAGATCACATTCAGAGCTTTGTAATATATTTAACTATTTTGATATGAATTTCTGTGTGCTACTAGTTCTGGGATTATTCTGGACAGTAGTTCAGAGAGGAAGGTATATCCTACAGGAGAAGTGCTGCAGTTTTCATTCCCTTTCTTAATCTGGAACAATTCTGTCATTCTTCTCACCTTTACTCTGAATTTAACTAGTTGGTTTTTTTTACATCGTATCATTTTCCCTCAGTTTGACATCCATACTAAAAAATAATTAAAAGAAAAAAAATCTAAAGTATTGTGTTTTGGTTCACTGAAGCAAACATCAACGAAGCTGCCTGATATTAGTTTATTTGGACATTCTAACATTTTGGTTGACTGAAAGCAGGATCCACGGGTTCCCAAAGTGGGTGATACTGCTCCCCGGGGGGGGGGCACTGGAACTATCCAGGGGGTGGTAGTAACCTCAGGTGCAACTGGGGGATGTTGAATAAAAATAAGGGGGCGGTGGAAGCATAAGGAAAGAAGAAAATTTTGAAAAACCATTCGTACCATGTTTCATTTGTTGTGTAATAGAGTTAAAGTTGTAGTGATTACATTATTTTCCAAATAAACACAGAAAATGCAAGTTATAACCAATCAGTGGTCAAGTCTTCTGACAGGTTTTAATAAGAAGTGTTAGCAGGTGAGGGTGTTTTGCATTATTGCAAAGCCCAGCATGCATCAGCAGGAATATGTGCATATAATGACTTGTTTACAATACAATACTATATGGTTATATGAAACAATATTGTGTCATCAAAATTTCAATGCAGGAAAAAAACCACACATTTATAATAAATTATTAAATTTAAGATACAACATTTCAAAAACTTTTATATTTTTTGAAATGATGCAAATTTTAAAAAACTATTAAAGGGTTAAAGAAAATAGATTTTGGGGGGGGCACTGAGTAATTTTTTTTTTAAAAGGGAGGTAGACCAAACAAGTTTGGGAACCCTTGGTCTAAATAGAAGGTGTGGTGCACAATGGGCCACAAGACTTGTTTTCTACTACTAGTTCTACAACTTATTGTATGGTCCTGGGAACCTCTCTTGACTTTGTAGTTTCCTCATGTAGAAAATGAGGGATTGGTTCTAGATGCAGGGGTCCTTAACTCAGACTTAACAAGGACTTAACATTTTTTTGATAACTATATTTCAATATTAGTGGTTTCATTTGGAATCTTATGTTTATTTTTATGCATTTAAAAACATGATTCTAGCACATGTCCATAAGCTTCATCAGGTTGCCAAAGAAGCCCTTGACACAAAAAAAATCCTGTATCTCTAAAGTCTCTTCTAGCTGTTATTGTTCAGTCATTTTTCAGCTGTGTCTGACTCTCTGTGACCCCATCTGGGGTTTTCTTGGCAAAGATACTGGAGTGGTTGGCCATTTCCTTGTGTAGCTCATGTTATAGATGAGGAAACTGAGGCAAACACAGTTAAATGACTTTCCCAGAGTAACACAGCCTGTAAGGGTCTGAGGCCACATTTGAACTTATGCCTCGAACTGGATCCACTGTGCCACTTAGCTGCCCCTTTCTAGCTGTAGGAGTACGATTATAAATCTTTACCAGTTTAGCTTTATGTGTTTGTTTCCCTTTCATTAGCAAACGCTTAAGTTCTTAAAGAGTATAATCAGCTCTCAATTGAATTCAGATTCTCTGAAATATAGATTATGCCATGTCCTAGGAGCCATGCAGCCACTAACTTCCCTCCCCTATATAATATTAGGGTGTGGTTTCCTCAGTTTCCTAAAGTTTCCTTCTCTAGATATTGTGTTTTCTAAAATTTTCACAAGGCCCTATTGGTCTGCCTTCTCTCTTCTTCTTCTGTCTCAGTGTCACTTGGTGAGCTCTGAGAACTCTGAACTAAAGAGGGATAAGAAAAACAGTGGTTTTTAAAATGGACAATTACTATAAAGAAAATTTGTGATGATTCTTTGATAAAAGGTATTGCCTGCTATTTAAAGTCCAAAATTTTACCAGTTTCCTCTTCAGATGGCCCTAACAAAGCGCCTTATTTCTTTTTTCACTATAATGATCTGCCTATTTATCAGCTTCTGCTGATGAATGGTGAGTGAGCATGTTGATGATAAAGTTAGTAAACATTTCTTTCATTTTACCAATGCAGCATCACCATCTTAAACCAAACACAGACAGCTGCAGGCTACATAGGAGCTACTTTTGAGAGAGTTTTCACCCTTTCCAATGGGATTTTCAGAAATCCATTTATTATGGTAAATTAGTGATTAATTGCTAAGAATAGTTTAATCTCTTAAGTGCTGAAATGGCCAGGGATATTACAAATTGAAATGTTAGGCCCTTTGGCAGAACAGGATTCAGTGGCCAACTCTGAAATCTAAAACAGAATAAAGCTTCAGTTCAACAAACATTTATTAAGACTGACTATACTGGGTCTACAAAGACAAAGAAACAATTCCTTTCCTTAAGGAGTTTATATTCTATTCGGGGAAGCAGAATTTTAGGGTTGGGCCACCCCCACCCCATCTTATATCTAAATAGTTTCAATGAGTTGCCTAGGATCACAAAGGAATTAGCAGATATCCTGACTCCCAGGCTAAAGCTGTTCTCCGTACCTCAAAAAAATGTGCATAAGGTTAGTCAGTGCTTCTGCCAAAAGGACTGGTTTACATGACTACCTGTTCAAGTCAACTCAAACTCTAAGTATCACTCGTCAACTTGCTTGCTTCAAGAAGTTCACACTATACAACCAAAGGAAAAACTCAACTAGAAGATGGCCAGAAGGACTGTCACCTGAAAGGTTATATAACATGAGCAAGCTGAGCAAGAGGGCACCCATGTTACATTTAAAAGACATTTAACTCACAGCATCGCGCTAACCAACTGAGGTAAATGTAGTCATTTTTCATCTTCTCACTCTGGATCAAAAGGAACACCTGAGGGGAAAAAGTCAGGATGAAAACCAGGATGAATTTTCAATAAAGATAGATATGCCCCCATCAGCCTGCTTTGGTTTGAGATGCTATACTGTTTTCTATTGCCAAAAATCCAAGAGCTGCTGAGGGAATGTGATGGAGGAGAGATGATGAGTTAAATGGTTTAGAGCAAGGATTCCCAACCTTCTTTGGTTCCTGGACCTGCTGACTTTCAAGAAAACTTCCTATATCTACTATTCAACAGGAAAGGAAATAAATTCTAGAGTTTATCATGGATATGCACATAAGAAATAAAGAGCTAGGACAGTATAGTTTTTTACCAAATATTTCCCATATGCCCCTTGACAAGTTCCCTGGGGGAAAGCATACCCTTATAACCCAGGTAATCCCTGGTTTAGAGTATGAGACTGAAATTGACCAGAAATATCCTAAAGCTGCCTAGGAAGACAAAAATCAAAAGGAAAAAAGTAATATCTAATAATCATGTCTACGATATAATTAAGAAATGTTCCACATAAGTGACTTTTCCCAGATAACTGAAGTTTAACCCTTGTAGTTACCAAACTTTAACTATTTTTACGGCAATCTCTCTAAAATGTATTCTGCATTCTTTAGCCTCTTAAACAGAGGAAAATGAAAATAATTATCTCTGCTTGGTGACTCAAGAGTATCATTATGAACCTTCATTATAAAGTATGTTCATAGTTGTGTGATATTATTCTTTGTTGTGTTTTTCCCTGTCTCTTCCTGAGCTAACAGGCCATTGGCCGTCACTTTTCATGGCTACTGCCTTATCTCTGATCTGTTTAAGCTTGTCCTTTCCTCCAGATATGCTGAGGGCTAGAAAATCAGTGAATAAAACTTATTAAGAATTGTATTATAGATATAATTAAATAAGTTCAGGAGAGGCTACAAGCATCTCCTACAGGGCTTAGTTGTGACAGCTATTTTCATTTCCTTCTGCAGTAGGGGGTAGTAATGTTTTCAGTATCCCAGGGCTAAGTGACTAGTATTTGCCTAATAATCTTTTTCTAAAAAGTTTAAGAATATAGAGTTCAGGGGAAGCTAGGTGGCACAGTGGATAGAGCACTGGCCCTGAAGTCAGGATGTGAGGGATGATCTCTCAGAAGTGAAACCTCCTCAAAGGGTCAATAGTTGTTGTTAATAGTTCTTGTATTGTTTTCAAAACCCTCCCCTGCTCAGACCCTGTTTTTAAGAACACAGCAAAAAAGAATAGCCCTACCCCCAACCTGAACTGCCTTGCCCTTGCAAAACTTCCTGCCTTTTCTTGTCTCTGGGCAAACTTGTGTAACCGTGAAAATAGATTGTGCCCCCTGAAAGCCCAGCCAATGGGATAAGGGGAAGGGAGTTAGGGAGGAGGAGCTTGCGTTAGGGTATAAATAAGCCCTGATTTCTGTAACAAACGCGTACTCTCCTAGCCGGCAATGGCGACCAGCAGTGGTACCCTTTCTCATGAGAAAGCAATAAACCCCTTTCTACTTTCAAGGTATCTAAGTCTTTGTTTTTATTTTGAGTAAGTGGGCTCTGTCCCACACAAGGAGGACCTGAGTTCAAATCCAGCCTCAGACCAGACACTTGACACTTACTAGCTGTGTGACCCTGGGCAACTCACTTAACCCCAATTGCCTTAAAAAAAAATCAAGATCAAAGTGGACTTTTGACTTAATTGCTGAATGTTTCCTTCATCGGAGTACTGCTGAGTTGGTTGGATGTGTTTTGCAAAATGTACTGAAGATGGGGCAGCTAGGTGGTGCAGTGGATAGAACACTGGGCCTGGATCCAGGAAGACCTGAGTTCAAATCCAGCCTCAGATAAATAACACTTACTAGCTGTGTGACCCTGGGCAAGTCACTTAACCCCATTGCCTAGACAAAAAAAAAAAAAGATTAAAAAAAATGTACTGAAGTTCTCCAAGAATAGGTCTTGTCCTACTTCTGAGAAAACGATACATCTTATTTCTCACACAGAAAACTAGATTGTTCTACCAGCTTCCAAGAACACAAGAGGGCCATTTCTACTGTACTTGTAACCCCTTTTTATACAGAGTCTTTCTCCCAGCAACCACATGAAAATAGCCACATTTTGAGAGTTATGAAATGATAATATGCCAAATGATCACTAATACTTTATCAAGAGTGTAACTCTTATATGACTGTTGATAAGGAAAATTGCTTGACACTATGAAAATCAGGTAAAGATAAAACTGCTCTTGTAATAAGTTCATAAAGTCTTCAGAGGTAGTTGGGTTGCTTTATTCAGAATTCAGTTTAATTGAACATTTTTGATCTCCTACTTTCTGAAGGACTTACAATCTACTGTGTTCAGTACCATGTACACAAATATGTATACTATTCAGATTGTAAGGAGACTAAGGAAAGATCCAGGCAAAGTGCTTGAGGAAAATATATAGGAAGGATAACTTTTACTTGGGAAATTAGTAAAGGCTTCATAGGGAAGGTGACACCAGCACCTTGAAGGAAGAGAAGATTTCAACAAGTAGAGGCAAGAAAGAGATGCCCTAAGTATTGGAACATGCCTCAGGGAATGAATGGGTCAGGGCAGAATGAAGAACAAATTAGGGGAACTAGTCTAATCCAACTGAAATGTGGAATTATATAGGTATTCAGAACATAGTCCTGATTTGTTAAAGAGATATTTTCTTTCTTTTTTCTAATTCAATTTTATTTTCAGCTGTAAGTTTGCTCTCTTTTCCCTTCCCCTCATTAAGAAAGTAAGATAAACAAAACCCATTATAGATGTGTATAGTCAAGCAAAACAAATGCTCTCATCGGTAACGTCCAAAATAAAATAGCCTGAATCTACACTAAGTCCATCACCTCGCTATCTGGTGATGGGTGGCAAGTTTCATCATGAGTTTTCTGGAATTGTGGTTGGCCATTAAAACAATGCTTTTGAAAAGCAGATACCTACCTCCTCACCCTCACTGGTATTTCCTGTGGCAGCTTTGGCTTGTGCATAATTGAAGTTAAAGGTGTCATCATTATAGAAATAACTCTGAAAAACAGCCCAAGCACAGGTAATTCAGAGCATTATTATATTAAATGAAGTCTCAGAATAAGTTACAAAAAGTAATAGAAAAAGAGCATATTTATGAATTACTCTTGATATCCAACACCCTCTTCCCAGTGCTCATCCTGTCATTTTTGTCACATTCATTACATATCTTTCTTACTCTTCTCTTCCTTTTCCTTCTCACTGCCACCATTAGGTCCCTCCTACCTGTACTATTCTAACAATCTCACCTAGCTTCTGTCAAGTCTCAGCTCAAATCTCACCTTCTTCAGGAGGACTTTCCTACCCCATCCCCCTTTGTCTCTCATATCCCTATTCCCCCCCCATCACCCACCCTACCCCCAGTATCTTTTCTTTGAGATTATCTTCCATTTACACATAATATATTTTGTATATATAATTTTATGCATGTTTATCCCCCCATTAGAATGTGAGCTCCTTGAGGGCAGAACAGATTGTGTTTTCATCTTTCTTTGTATTCTCAGCACTTAACACAGTGTGGCATGTAGTAAGTGCTTAATAAATGCTTGTTGATTGATGCTAACTGGTTTTCTTGTTCCAATCTCTCCTACTCTACTCATCCCATCTAAATATCCTACATATTACTTTCCACATTAGGTTGCCTAAACACCATTTTCACTATGCTACCGAGCACCGCCCTTACCCCGCCCTTTTCCTCAAAAATCTTCAGTGCTCCTCCGTTGTCAACAGGATAATTTTCAGCTCCCTCAAACAGACATTTGAGATCCTCCACAATTTGGAGAAAATCACTTCTCCACTTCTATCCTTCACCCTTTTACGAGTCCATCACATCACATCCTTTTTAAACCAGAAAACTGGTCTATTGCTTCATTCTTGCTTGCAATGCTCTTCCCCTCTTCTGAACTTAGGTAAGGAAGGCTGTCTGCCCTTAAAGTCCAGTTCTTCCTAAATGTCCTCACCCACAATGAACTCTCTCCTCTGAACATCTGTGACTCTGAATGTCATGCTTTGGCACTTTCTTGTGCTATATTTGTACTTTATTTTCTAAGTCCTAGCTTCCTAATTGGATTGAAAACTCCTTCAGAGTAGTGAATTGTTACAAATGCTTCACAGCATAGCTCCATGCAGACAGAAGGCGTTCAATAAACGTTGGGCTTGCGAACAAGAATAAGATATATATGTATGGTCTACCTGTCTTCTAAAAGGCTATTCATTATTTGTGTGGGTGAAAGCTTGAGGCTGTGGAAAAATACGTTGATACTTTGAGGAGTAAAGATGGGAAATAAAATGAGCTTTGTGAACAGGTTGTCAATGTCTCTGAAGCTTCAAGTAAGTCAGGGAGCTGGGAAGAAGAGAGAAATGAGAGAATAAAGGATGTGGATACTAAATGCAATGTGTTAGTCTGTGAGAAAAACTTAAGGGTCAGACATAAAGTCCATTTCTACCAATGTTGTCATTTATTGATTTTAAGATTAAGAAAATTTGGTGAGTTTCCATGAATGTAGTTCAGATTTCTTCCATTGAGAACTACACGTCCATATACGTTGACGGGAGAATGGCTGTCATTCTCATATTTTAGTCAGTTCCTTGTATATCTTAGATATCAGATCCTTATTAGAGAAATGTGTTACTGCAGAGATTTCTTCACAGTTAATTGTTTCCAATAAATTTTAAGTGCAATGATTTTGTTTGAGCAAAACTTTCGAATTTTATATAATCAAAACTGTCCATTTTATCTTCTGTGATCCTCTCTATGCCTTGTCTGATTATATACCCTGCCCCTATTGATAGTTACTGTAAGTATTTCCTTCCTTGCTTGTCTAATTTGTTTATGATGTAACTTTTTATATTTAGTTCACATATCCATTTAGAACCTTTTGTTGAATCACGAGTTATTACTCCAATAAATGAGGTCTTTGGTTTCACTGAACACTGTACTATTATATTTGTTTGCTTCTGTATGCTCTGTACTCTACTCTATTCCAGTGGCTACCTTTCTATTTTTTTTCAAACCAGTACCAAATAGTGTTGAAGATGACTGGTTTGTTGTTGTGATTGTCCTTCGTTTCTGAAAATGACCAATGGCATCATGATGTTGGGGTAAAATAATGGATGATGGACGATAATTTGAGCACGAATTGGATTTAAGGGCAATTCCAAAAGAAGAGTTCCAAAGATGTTCTGAGCAACTGCAGCATTGACAGAATAAGTGCACAGGCTCCCCAAGTGACTAGGTTGAAGACTAATACACATTTGGATGTCCAAATTCTTTACTTTATAGTCACATCTTGTGCATGTGTGTGTGTGTTTGCAGACATGTAAGCACCTGAGTATTTACATATATACATATTTATGCACATACATGTAAATTAAATTTTATTTCCTGAGTGAACCTATGAGTGAGATGGTGCCCTGCACAACTCAATTCTATTTCTCAGCCCACTGTGAGTTACTATGTTTGTGTTCTGAAATGCAGATAATTTGATGCAATTGCTCAAATGTAATCTAACCCCTTCCACTTTTCCTTTTTAGTTCTAGGCCCAACTCATTGTCCATGTGGAGGGCTCTCTGGGTTGGACAAATAAATTATGCAGAACTAATGAAAAGACATGGGCACAAATCACACAGGATTAAAAAAAAGTTACAGTTGCAGATTTGCAGTAATGAAGTCCAAAGGCAATCACGAACTGACCCAGCAGACTATCTGTCTGCTCTTTGCTAGACAGTCCCTTGATTAGTAATCCCTTAGTAATCCTACTAAGTCAATTTATTTTACATGTTTGTGGATCTCCCAGGAAATATATGGGTACAAAGCTTTATTTATAAAGAAAGAAATTTCAGGTGATTCCAAAGACAATCAAAAGAAATCTGTTTGGTGGGTGCTGTGGAAGCCACCTCCAAAGGCAGACTAGGCTAGTTCTTTCTTGTCGTTGTTTGTTGCTCTTTTATCTTTCATTCTCAAGGAGTTTTTCCTTAAGAAGTACTCAAAGAAATATAACTGGTTTAGAGGACTGAGGCTTGGGTCACTGACATAGCTTCCTGATTACCTGAATATAAAAACATCCAGACCCAAAGGACTTTAGCTCCTCCTTGGGCTTCTAACCACAGATCAGCAACATTTTTTTTTTTTAGGCAATCAGGGTTAAGTGACTTGCCCAGGGTCACACAGCTAGTAAGTGTCTTAAGTGTTTGGTCTGAGGTCACATTTGAACTCAGGTCCTCCCGACTTCAAGGCTGGTGCTCTATCCACAGCACCACCTAGCTGCCCCAGAGCAGCAACATTAATATCATTAAAAAGCTGTGCTCAACTGGATTAATGTTTTAGTCTCAATTAATATCCTTTCCCTAATTTCTCTAATACCCTAGTAATCCCTTCCAGAGCTAAGGAAAACTCCATTTGTACTTCCTTTCTTCCCTTAAAACAAATTTACCTTCACTCTGGCCTTCTTCCTCTTATATATCTTCCATCTACTTCCTCTTCCATGAGTTAACCCTACATCTCTGACCATCTTCTCCAGCACTAGCAGTCTCATGTCCTTTGACACACTAGTCCCACTCACCGCCACTTCCATACTCTCAATTCTGCTGCCATTGCTCAGTAACCATTCCTTGAGCATAAGTGTTTTTCACTTTTGGTATCTGTCTGCCCAGCATATAGTAAAGAACCAGGCAAAGAATAGACAACAAATGCTTGCTGATTGACTAACATGTAGAAGGAACTCCTGTTATGACCTATTCCTCTGAGGTCTTTTCTAACTCTAGAGATTTTGTGAATCAGATTTTTTTTAATTGGATACAAAATAAATTTATTAAATTTCAATGACTCACTCTTGCCTCAAGGATTGAATATAAGCACCTCTAGTTTTTAAAACCCTTCACAACGTAGCTGCAACCTAACTTTCCAAACTTATCATACACATATTATATATTATACTTCCCCTTCCTGTTTTCCAGTCTAGCCAAGCTGGCCTTACTGTTTCTCACATACAACACTCCAGCACTCATTTCTGCATTTTGCACAGATTCTTCTCTGTCTAGAATGCACTCCCACCTTACTTTTGTCTCGTTTTCTTTGAAACTCTGCTCAAGAGACTCTTTCTATGTGAAACCTGTGTCCTTATCCTCAAGTTGCTAGTGCTTCCCTCACATAAATTTACCTTGCCTATATTTCACATATGGACTTCACACATTAAAGTAGTTCCAACAAACGGTGATGAGGGCCTAAATTGGGAGAGTATAAATGGAGACAAATACAAGAGATACTTCAAAACAGAATAGAAGATAGATATAGATAGAATAGATATTGTAAAACAGAAGGCCCTGGCAACTAACTGGATATCAAGGAGAGAATGCTCCACAATTCCTGGTACATTCCTGGCAGTATATAGGCATTAATCTAAATAAAAGGTATCAATGAGGCAAGACTATTCTGTAAAGATAAGAAATAACAAAAAGGATCATATGGAGGTTAAAAGTGATTTCTAGAAGCTGAAAAGATTTTCCAGTGGTATAAGATTCAAAATATAGTCACTTTTTTGTTGCCTAATAAACTCCTATGTTTTACTTTACTACTTTAGTGCAGAAGCTAGGTGGTAATTCATAGAAACTCTGGGAAAATAGAGAGAATATAGAGTAGGAGATGTTAGTCTAGTTCTCTAGTGCTTTATAAAAAAAAAAGTCCTGAGGCTCATATCAACCTGTAAACCCCTGCCGCCTATTCCACAAGAAGGCAAAGGAGTGTAGCTGCCATTCTTATCATGCTTCAATATCCACCCCCACCCCCCACAGACTTAAGTGTGCCTATCATGTTATTAAGGGGAAACTGTAAGAGATGAAGAACAAAAAAAGGATAGAAGTGGTGACCAAATTCTTGAGAATCTCTCATAATAATTAAAATTAATTAATCACATGATTAAAATTCTTAAGAGAACTGCAAATATATAGATAAGAAAATGACTAGCTTTGTTGGAAGAGAACTGGACAGGACCAAAGGATTTAGAGCTGGAAAAGATAATCTTTATCCAACTAATTCAACTTCTTCCTTTATATATGAACTCTTTAAAATATCTCCAACATTTTCAGAGTCTGTATAGAACTCATTCCTTCCCAAAGCAGCCCATTCTAGTTTTGGAATTATGGAAAAAGGCCTTCCAAATTACTTTTAATTAAATGCTTAACTTATTGGGTTTAGGTAGGTCAAATTTATTAAAGAGTTACTTTTTGTTCTGTATGTAGACATTAAAGTATACTGTAATGTTTATAATATATTCTTATCTACTTTATAGGATTCAAAGTCAACTTTTATGCTTAAATGTACAGTTGAATTTTTAATGTTTAAGTTACTTAGGAGGTTTGGCTGACAGCAAGCCAATAATTAAGGTGAAATTTAACTTTTTTATATTTATCTATAGCATCTGCATTACTTCATACACTATGTCTAAATCCACAGCACTCATAGTTTCTGCAATAAAACACTCACAGCACTTTGGTTCATGTTCCTGAAACAGCTTAAGTTGACTTTACCGATCCATCCTTGTACTATGGTTGTAATTTTATTTTTATGGTACATTGTTGGTTATTTCTAGGATTCATATAATACTGAGTCCTTGACAAGGAATGAAACCCCAATATGATATTGTTTCTATAGGGAAAATGTGACTCATTTTTTAAAACGGTTCTAGGGATTCATTTTAATTCGTAGAAATTATAGATTCTATTTACTCGTAGACTCATAGAACCAAAAATTAAAAGCGAGGACTGCTTACATTCTCCAGGTCCTTGAGTACTTAGCTGAAGTCAATGTAAAGCCTATCTCTTCAATGTAACGACAGTCTATCCAAAACTAGTTTTGTTGTTGTTTTTTACCTCAAATTCCCTTTCTACTACTTAAATGAAAAGAATGAAAAAAGGGTGTCTTATCTTCCACCAAGCATTAATTATAGACAGTTTCCTATACATGTCTACACTGAAAATGCTATACTAACCTTGACAGAATTGAGGTAAATTAAGACATCATCAAATTGTCGAAGAAGGAAGAAGCAGGAAGCCATGCATTGTCTCCCTGGTATTGTATCTGTAGCAGAAGACAACAGCATGTAAATTTAAAAGGCAAACATTTCACTGGACCTGAAGCTTAAGTGATTTAATCAAAACATTTCCCCATAATCTTCAATCAACCTGATATGTTCAAATGTCAAATTGTCTCATCTTGACTGTCCTCTTTTCTACTGGTATCTGATATCCACAAGACTTTGGCTGACGGCTGCTATGCCTTGAGGTGAGCCTGTGCTACTCTAGCTAGTCTCCCTGACAATAATGTGCATTAGGAAAGAAGAATTGAAGCAATATGGTCAGCTTTGACCAGTAACACATAGGAAGAATAGAAACTAGAACAGAATCCTCGGTTCTCATTTTGGATAAGTTTGTTCTCTACCACAGGGCTTCTTGTTGTTCAGTTGTTTTCAGTCATATTCAGTTCTTCATGACCGCATTTGGGGTTTTCTTGGCAAAGATAATGCAGTTGTTTGCCATTTCCTTCTCTAACTCATTTTACAGATGAGGAAACTGAGGCAAACAGGGATTTGCTCAAGGTCACACAGCCAGTAAGTGTCTGAGGCCAGATTTGAACTCATGAAGAATTGTCTTCCTGACTCCAGGCCTGGTGCTCTATCCACTGTACCACCTAGCTCCCACAGGGCTACTACAATTCAATGCAATCCAACAAAAATTTTTTAGGAACTTAGAATGTGCAAGGCACTTTGCTAAGCACTGGAGTTACATAGAAAATAAAAAACAGCTCCTGTCCTCAAGGAGTTTACATTCTAGTATAAAATAATAAGAGCAGGTTGGTGACCTCTGATCCATTCATTTATCTTACCAATTAAGTGGTAAATACTGTGCTCAGCACAGTTAAGCATCAAAGGGTTTATAGAAATATAAAACTCAGTCCTTATCCCCAAAGAGAATACACTCTAGTGGCTGGGGTGGGGGGGCGGCGCCAAGATTAACACAACTGAAACAAAAGCAAACAAGGCAGGATGGTATATAATTAAATGCTAGTTTATGAAACATAGGGTTAGTAGAAGAACAGGAACTAGTAGAGATGTCAGGGAAGACTCTGGGAGGAGATAGGGCTTTAGAAGATGAGGAACAACAATATAAGTAGAGGAGAGAGGAAAAACAAATTCTAGGTGAAGGGAACTCTGTGAATAAAAGTTCAGCAGCAGGAATTCATTCAACAAATATAGATTGAGTCAAGGAAATGAACACACATACTGAAAGGACAGCAAAAACAAAACACAAACTGGCCTACCTAGACCAGAGAGTGGGGAGTCAAATTGGTAGAACTTGGTCAGTTTTTGGAAGGCCTTCAATGCCAAGCAGAATTTAGATTTTTTTCAGGAGGAAACAGAGAGACTTTGAAAACTTTTGACTAAGAAAATAACATGAAAACAGCAATACTTGAAGAAATTTAGTCTAGGAACTGTATAATTTAGGAAATATTATAAGGTGGCCCACTTCAAATGCTAACTTTTCATGATTCCTCTCATCAGAAATGCATTCTCTTTTTGAAATCTTATAGTACTTTGTTTTGAATCTCTCTTACACACACAGAATATTCTTTTTTATATTATATTTGTGTGTATTTTCAATGCTTCCTATGGCCCACTTGACTTCATTCTCTAGGATGTCTGGCTCTAGATCAATAACCACACCATCATGGTTATTGGTGATATTAAGATCTTTCTTGTATAGTTCTTTTGGGTCTTCTTGCCACCACTTTCTAATCTCTTCTGCTTCTGTTAAATCCTTATCATTTTTGTCTTTTATCATGCCCATTTTTGCATGAAACTTTCACTAGATAATGCTAACTTTCTTGAAGAGAGCTGCCTTCTCGATTCTATTGTTTTCTATTTCTTTGAATTATTCACTTAAGAAAACCTTCCTATCTCTCCTTGTTAGTCTCTGGGATTCTGCATTCAGTTGGATATATCTTTCCCTTTCACTTTCTTTCTTTCCTCACCTATTTGTAAAGCCTCATCAGATAGCCATTTTTGCTTTCTTGCTTTTCATTTTTTTTGGAATGTTTTTTGTTGCTGCCTCCCATACAATATGGTGAATCTCTATCTGTAGTTCTTCAGACATTTTATCTACCATATCTGATCCTCTAAATCTATTCATCACTTCCACTTCATATTCATAAGGGCGGTTAAGTCATGCCTATATGATCTCATGGTTTTCCCTGCTTTCTTCAATTTGAGTCTGAATTTTGCAATAAAAAGCTCGTGATATGACCCACAGTCAGCTCCAGGTCTTGTTTTAACTGACTGTATAGAGCTTCTCCACCTTTGGCTGCAAAGTATATAATCAATCTGATTTCTATGTTGACTATCCAGTGATGTCCATGTGTAGAGTTGCCTTTTGGGTTGTTGAAAAAGAATATTTGTTATAACCAGCAAGTTATCTTGACAAAATTCTATTAGTCTTTGCCCTGCTTCATTTTGCACTCCAAGGCCAAATTTGCCTGTTAGTCCAATTATCTTTTGATTTCCTGCTTTAGCATTCCAATCTCCTATGATGGATGTGACATCTTTTTTTGGGTGTTGTTTTTAGATGTCGTAGGCTTTCATAAAACTGATCAACTTTGGTCTCTTCAACATCAGTAGCTGGGGCACAGACTTGTGTTAATGTGATGTTGAATTGTTTGCCTTGGATTTGAACAGATAACATCCAGTCATTTTTGAAACTATATCCCAGTATTGCTGTTGATAGCTCAATCTTTCCATCTATTGTTTGATTGCATCCAGCTTACCTGCGTTCATAGATCTTACAATCCAGGTCCCTATGCAACACTGATCTTTATAAGGCATCAGACTTCCCTTTCATCACTAGATGCATGCACAGCTGAGCTTCCTTTCAACTTTGGGCCAGCTGCTTCGTTAGTACTGGAACTACTTGTAGTTATCCCCCACTCTTCCTCTGTAATATACTGGACACCTTCCAACATGAGGGGCTCATCTTCCACTTTCATCTCTTTTATCATTTTAGTACTGTCCATGGTTTTTTTTAAGTCTTTTTTTTTGGGGGGGGGGTTAGGCAATGGGGTTAAGTGACTTGCCCAGGGTCACATAGCTAGTAAGTGTTATGTGTCTGAGGCTGCATTTGAACTCAGGTCCTCTTGAATCCAGGGCCTGGTGCTCTATCTACTGTGCCACCTAGCTGCCCCGAATGGGGTTTTCTTAGCAAAGGTATTGGAGTGCTTTGTCATTTCCTTCTCCAATGGATCACCTTTTGTCAGAACTCTCCACTATGACCTGTCCATATTGGGTGACCCTGCATGGCATATCTTATAGTTTCACTGAGCTACGCAAGCCTCTCCACCACAACAAGGCAGTTGGCAAGGCCACTGTCTTGTTCATGTTTGCGTCCTCCTTAGGGCTAACCCTTTAGCAATACCAATTTTAAAAGGAGCTTGAATCAGAGAGGCCATCAGTGGGTTGCTACATCAGTCCAATTATTGGGACAAAAGAGTTACAGCACTAGGAAGAGCTACGAAGTAAGCAGCTGGTTGAGATAAGCAATGAGAGTAAAAGGGAAGGGGAAGGAAACAAGCATTTATTAAGCATTGAGTATATCATTTAATCTCACTGGAGAAAAGAGAAAGGAAATCAAATGATGCCAAGCACAATAATGAGAATTAGGAGAATTACTGATATAACATCAATAACATTATAAAGACAAACAACTTTGAAGGATTTAAGAATTCTGATCAATGCTATGACTCCAAAGGGCTTATGATGATACATGCTGCCCACTCCCGACAGTGAGGTGAATGGCTCGATGTGAATGCCACATGGTAAATGCCAAATGAGATATATATTTTTGGACAATGTTAACACGTCTGTTTTGCTTGACTATGCATATTTATTACAAGGGTTTTTTTTTCTTTTTTTCTAATGGGGAGGAAGGAAGGAAAGTAAATAAATACTTGTTAATTGAAAAAAATAAAAACTTAAAAGATAAAGGAAGAGGTGAAGTTGATGGATGTTAGAATTTTTTCAGAAGACATTCTCACAGATAAAAGTACAGCTATTATTTACATTAAGGGGTTAGTAGGAATCTGCTAATTGATGACCAAGCCTACTTGAACAAAAGATAACAAGTAGAACGTTCTAGAAAAGGCAAGAAAACCCCTAAATCAGGCTATTTTCAATAGATCCTAAGGCAACATGTAGTGTTTTCATCACTCCCATTTAATGAAGGTCCAGGACCCTTTGGAAAGGATCTTCCCTTTAGAATAGGCAAGAAGAGCAAAAGTAGAAGTGCTTAGTAATTCAAAAGAAACAAAATACACAAAGATGATAATACTGTTCATGAATCATGTCAAATAATGAGGAAAATGAGCTAAAGGTGTAAAAAAAAGAGGTAAATATGCCTAATTTGTAACCATGAGTTTTGGTGGGATGTAATGCATAGCTGTAATGCCATAATGGATGATTATACTTTAGTCAAAAGAAAACACAAAATAAAGAGGACAGTTGAGTAGAACCATTTAAGAATAACCTAATTAACCTGTGGAAGTCCATAAACTAAAAGTGGGAAGCATCTGAGAATCAAAAAGGGACAAGCAGAAGTAATATTGCAGTAGAAGTCAAAGATGCCCATAACTCTCTCCTCTTCAAAAAACCTTCACTTGATCTGTCCATCCGAACTAACTGATTCCATATCTCTTCTCTCCTTTGAGGCTAAACTCCTGGAAAAGGCCATCTACAATCAGTGCCTCCACTTTCTTTCCTTTTACTCGCTTTTTAACTTTCTGGCTTTGGACCTCATCTTCAGCTTTGTTGAATTATTCAAGCTTATAAAGCACTTTAAATGCCAAACAGAGTGATCTCTATTTTATTTTAGAGACAAAAGAGAGCCACTGAAACTTCTTGAGGAGTGACTTTGCGTTAGGAATATATTAATTTGAGAGCTATGTGGAGGATGTAATACAGAGGAAAAATACTGAAGGCAGAGAGGTCAATTAAGAAGTTGTTACAATAAGAGACAGTGATAACAGAGGTGATGAGGCCCTAAATTAGGACGCCTATGGTGTAAATAGAAAAGCGGACATATGGAAGAAAGGTTGAGGAAGTTGAAGGGATAATATTTCTACCTGACTGGATATGGGGAACAGAAAAAGAATGAAGAGCTGAGAATGACTCCTAAGCTGAGAACCCCAAAGTGGAAGAATAGTGGTATCTTCAACAATAATAGATAAGTTATGAGTAGGGATAGATTTAGGGGGAAGGATAATTAGTTCTGTTTTGGACATGTTAGGTTTGAGATATTGGTAAGCTGTCCAGGTAGAGATAGACATTAAATAGTTGGAGATTTGGGACCGGAACTCAGGAGATGAGAGGCCTGGAAAGATGATAGCTGAACCCATGGGAGCTGATGAGATCACCAAGAAAGAGTGTAAAGAGAGAGAAAGGGAAAGGCTAAGGACATAACCTTGGGGTACACCCATTCAGAGAGGCAGTACACTGATAATGATCTGGTAAAGGCCTGACAAATAGGAAGAGAATTAGTTTATAAAAACCCAGAAAAGAAAGAATATCCAGAAGGATGAGGTGGTCAGCAAGAAATACTGCAGAAAAGTTAAAAAATACCAGGAATGAGGAAAGGCCATTGGATCTAGTCATAAAGAGATCACCGGTGACCTTGGAAAGAACAATTTCAGCCAAGTGTGGGGATTAGAAGTCAGGCTACAAGAGCCTAAGAAATGAGTAGGACGTGAGAAAGTGGAAGCAATGAGCGGAGATTTTTTTCCCCTAGGGGTTTACTTGTTAAAGGGAGAAAATACATGGGGTAATAGCTTGAAGAGTTGGTAGGGTCAAGAACAGAATTTTTAATGATGGAGGAGATCTGGACATATTTGAAGGCAGTAGGTAAGGAATCATTAGATAAGGAGTGGTTGAAAATTAGGGAAAAGGGAAGATATAAGATCCAAGCTCTTAGAAAGACTACTTTAATTGCTATGTAGTTGAAAGAGCAGAGAATTTGACGTCTAAGTGGCACTTATTATCAGTTTGATCTTGGGCAAGTCACCTCACCATGGAGGGGAGGAACCAGATGATGTCAGAATTTCCTTCCTGTCCTAACCAGATATCATATGAAACAATAAATGACATGAAGAGAATAATACAGGGTAGCTGAAAAGTGCAACCTAAACTTTAGATGTATAGGTTTCAGAATTCAGAGAAAGGATGAGGTAGGATTCCATGTTTTAGGATTGTACACAGGAAATCAGCTCAAGGATGACAGGCTTATCTCAAGAACAAAATTCTAATAACACAAATGATTTAAGCAAGAAAGAAAAGAGGGAGCTGTTTAAAAAGACCAATATGTGCACATGAAATTACACAACTACACTTAGTTGACCAATCAGTCAACTAAGAATAGACAATGGAGGCAAAAGGTATATAAAGATAGATATATGAAAATGTCAGGAACGTGTAAGGCAATAATGAACAGGGGGTTGGGAGGAATGTAATGGGCAATAAGGCCTTTTTATTTTTAATATATTCTGGGGACAAAAGGAAAATAGAAAGCAATAGAACCATTGCTTAGGGTGGAAGATAGATTTATGATGATAACTAAAGATCAAGACAATATGGAACTACTGTGTTGCTTCCATTTCTTCTACTAAGGAGAATGGTTTTCAGATTAGGAGACAGAATAAAAATAGTTAACAGGAAAATGAAAACCAAGTTAAATGAGAAGATTCTAAGACAATACATAACTTGAGCTCAAGCACTGGACTGGGGAGCATGCAATTTCCTCCTCTCCCAGAACTTACTGTCACATGAGGAGAAAAATACCAACTCTACCTAAATCACCAAACCATCTTAGAAAACAATTCTTCAGTTCTCAGGTCCCTTCAAGCTCTGTGGGGGATGGGTTTTAGATAAGGTGCAGCAGACTCATATATGTGGAGGTAGAACTCAATCTGCCCTGTGCCTACCATGACTGATTGAAAAAAAAATAATGCTTTACCCTTCTATAACCGGTGAACATATTAGTAGGAGCCACCACTGACATCTAAGCATCTATATCTCTTTTCTCCATCATTAGAACTAAGATGGTAGAGTTTTAACTCCCAATCCTCCCTTCACCCCAGAGCCTGTTGTCATATGTAGAAGAACCACGTACCCTACCATGCTTCAGTGAAGCATCTAAGAAAAACAACAATTCCTCCCATCTCCAATAACCATCAAAATCCCAGATACAAGGCCTCTTTCCACCACAACAGCCTTGTCCAGGCTAGTCTAGGAACCAAATGCAAACACCATGTATACGGTATATCACAGGGGAGCATCAACCTCCACCAACTTGGGATGAGGCAAAGTAATGCACGAGTTCAGTCATGTCCTGGAGGGAGACGGAGGAGCAGCAGAAGAGGGAGAACCTACTCATCACATATTTGTGAACCCAGAAGCCTGAACTAATCTCCTTGCTAGTTTAATTCCTTATTTCCTGATACTTGAGACAGAACAGACTAATACTGGCTTCTGGCACCACAGGGTCCTGGAGGGTAGGAGCTCCAGTTAACTAGCACTTTTCTTATGACTAGTAAATTCCCAGCCTCTTCTTCTCTAATGATTTATATTTTCTGTCTTCCATATTGAAAGCCCCATCCATTCTCTTGCTACCATTCCTCACTCCTTCATCCTCAATCACTTCAGATGGCCTCTACATCCTTTCCTTCTCTGCCTTCTCCCTTCCATTCTGTCCTCTAGAACACTCTTTCTATGGTTATTAAACTTCCTTTCAGGCTAAATTTCTTCGTCTCACACTCTTTCCATCTTATTGTACTGACTGAAATCTGGCTCCCAGTGGAAGAAGGTTACTTTTACTACTGTGTCTAAAGGTAAAACTAACAGCCAAATAAGGCTTAGAGGAGGTCACAAAAGACAAAACAGACACTTTTCAGAATATGAAATTTTAAAGCTTTTGTATGAACAAAATAACTGCAACTAGAATAAGGAGATATCCAGTAGAGGAGAAAAATATCTTTAGTAAACTTCTCAGGGTAAAGATCCCATCGTTCCCTTTCTTTGCTCAGACCTCTTGACCAATGACGGGTGCTTATAAATGGCTTCTTTAATCTATGCTATCAAAGAGAGTATAGATTTCAGACATACCACATTCACTAGCTGATCCACCCACCAACTGGAAGAACTGCTGGGCAATTTTCAGATGATCCCTCTAAAAGACAAAGAAATATTTTCATTAAAAAAATAAGCAGAGTATCCATATTTTTAATAAGAAAATAATAATATCATCTTATTGTTGGCTATTCTTTTGAGGTTTAAAGTGTCTTCACATATAGAATTTCATTTGGTCCCTGCAGAAATTATTGATCTTACTGCTAATGAGAAATTGGCAAACTGAAACCGAAGAAAATTTGCATAGGGTTTTATAGACAAAAAGGTAAAAATCAATCAACAAATAAATACTCAATGTCTGATACACACAAGGGAACTGAAAGCATTATTCACATCAACAAAACATATTTTAATTTGATTTTTATTTTCAGTTCCATATCAACTTTTTTTAAAAAAGAAAAAGAAAAATATATCTCAATTCTGAAGTACAATTATATTGTAATCTGTCTTTGAAAAGGGATTGTTATGTTCAATCAAAGGAAGCTAAGTATGTTTATATTTATACATTATCATTATTAATATCATTATTCTATGAATAAACAAAGAACATGAAAAATGACAGCATATGAGAAGAGCTTTGAAAAGTATTAAGTTCTATATAAATTAAAATATTATTATATATAAAGGCTGGTACACTTAAATATCAGAAAAGCAATGGGTTTTTACAGGAAGTTGATATTACCCTCATCATCCAACATATATCATAGTATTGTTGGGATGTCTGTACAATTTTTAAAATCTTTACCTGCTACATGATTAAATACAAACTCGGAGAGGAGGAGCTATAAAACTATGCTACGATTGATCTTGCTTGACAGGAGCAATAATTATGGATATAGCTTGTTCAATACAAAATGATAATTCTCAGTGTTAAGGAAAAGTGGCAATTGTTTGCTAAAATGCCTTTAATATCTTTGTGGAATGTAAGCTGATAGCTGATGTACCGAAATGAATGGTATTACAAAATGACATATTCATTTTGAAAACCACTATCAATTGCATTTTGATCCTTATAATCATCCTTTCTATCTATTATAAAGCTATAAAGTCATGAATACCAGAGATTTTATACTCACCAAACCCATTTCTTGTCCAAGAGCTGCATTAACCACCCCCTTGAGGATGTATTCCTAGAAATATAGAATATCATTTTAGTAAAGATAGGAGAGACATGGTAGTGGTATTGAGTCATTTCAATCGTGTCCAACTCTCTGTGACCCCATTTGAAGTTTTCTTGGCAGCGATACTGGAGTGGTTTGCCATTTCCTTCTCCAACTCATTTTATAAATGAAGAAACTGAGGCAAACAGTATTAAGTGACTTGCTCAAGGACATAGCCAATAAGTGTCTGAGGCTGGATTTGAATTCAGGCCCTCCTGACTCCAGAGCCAGCACTCTACCCACTGGGCCATGTAGCTGCCCCTAGGTTTAAGTAGGATCTTTCAAATTCAATTCTAATACCTTCTATACTCCTCCTAACCTAGGGTGTTATTTTACCTAATTCTAGCAATATGTACCCAAGAGATATTTCTTAGTTTCTTAGACCAGTTCCTAAGACACATGAGTCTACATGCTAGAATACACTACTTGTGACATTAACATTTAGTAGAAAAAATTAAAAGAATAAGAGTATCTAGGTTACATTTAATAATTAATTTTCTTATAACTATTGATCAGAAGGTACCTAATAGGATCTGTTCCAACACCACTTGGGTTATACTTTTTATTATCTTCACTAAAAAGTCCCAACTAGCCAATATATAAGCTATTTTGTTTGTTTGTTTGTTTTGTTTTTGGCTAGGCAATGGGGTTAAGTGACTTGCCCAGGGTCACATAGCCAGTAAGTGTTATATGTCTGAGGCCAGATTTGAACTCAGGTTCTCCTGAATCCAGGGCTGGTGCTCTATCCACTGCACCACCTAACTGCCCCCAAAATATGAGCTATTTTGATTCAAGAGGACTCAAAATAAGAGAATAGGCCTGGAGATGTTGAAGCTTATCAAACTGGGGAATATTGCCGGCCTTAGACTCTGTGGCCTAGAAGTCCACATTTTTTATTGTGAATTTCTTTATGTACATATAATTTTTGGGTTCATCACTGCTATAGGCATAAAAATCTTTATACCTCGGCCCTTTTGAAGAACTGGGAATGTACAAAGTAGGTCAACAAAAGCCCAGGATACTCACCTCCTAATACCTCTACACTTCAGGGACATTGTTTCCTAGATTAGTATACACTCTTCTTCTGCGAATTTTCAAGCTAGAATCTCTTTTCATGAGCCTTTCAGTTTCCCTTTCTCAAGCTCTACTGAATTTTTTCTCAAATATTCTTTATTATAAAACATAAAAATTATAAGACATTGACAAACCATCAGCAAACACAAACATTTACAAACAGAAATAGAGAATTGTATATAAAAATGTGAATTTCTATTATATAAAAGGTTTCTTGTTTTAAAGAATATATAAAACACAACAGTGCCAAAATGCCCTGCTCCTCAACTTCCTATTCCTTGTGAATTTCCTATGATTCCCTCTGAAGATCCTTCTGCTTTCTTCTGGGTATTTTAAAATGTTAATTGACACCCTTTTACTTTTCTTCTCTCCCTTTTGTCATTCCTTACAGCTCAATAATATTCGATTATATTCACATACTATAATTTGTTCAATCATTCACCAACTGATGGGCACTCACTTTGTTTCCAATTCTTCGCTCCAAAAAGGTGCAGCTATAAATATTTTAGTATATTGGGTTCTTTCTCCCTGTCTTTGATCTCTCTGAGGTATGTGCCTGGCAATGACATCACTGGGTCACCAGGTTAAATTCCACTGGTTTTCAATGGGTTATAAGTAGTGAGAAAAGAAAATGTTATCAATTACCTGAGGAGTTGTAGGTTCTAGATCTTTAATTAAGTTATAAGCCTCTTGCACATCATCTGAAACACCAAGAAAATTATTCAGAATAAATTCTAGATAGTTCCTGTGATGCTAAAACATTCTTGAAAGAGAAGTTAAGAAGGGTTAAATACATTGATCCTGAATTAATGGCTCTGCTCCAGAGCCCACGTAAACAAACTACAATAAAATCACTCAGAGCCAGGGTTCTAAAGCTCAAAGGGCCTTAAAGACCACCTCATCCAGCCCTTTTATTTTACACATGAGCTAACAAACACCACACAGTGATTACTTGGCATCTTGGTTTTGAAAAATCTCATTAAGTCTTTCTGTTCAAATGGTTACAAAGTACTAGAAACCAATTCAATAAAAACATTTACTAAGTGCCTGTTCTGGGCAAGGTGTTGCACTAGGCACTGAAGGTACAAAGGAGGAGCTTATAATTTAATGCAGAGGGGAGAGATGTATATCAATAACTATCATACAACGGAAAGTGGGAGGACAAAGAAAGACCAAAATGCTATTAAAATGTCAATCTAGAGAGTCTTTTCAGCTACTGGGTAGGACAGAGAGAAGCCTTCAGGGAGGTTCTACTTGACTGGATCCTTGGAAGGGAAGGACTTCACAAGACAGAGATATAGGGGGGGAAGATGGGATGAGGGAAGGATGGGAAGTCCATTAGAGGAAAAGGGGAGAGGGTAGCATAATTAAAGGCACTGAGAGGAGGGCACAGCAAGAATGAAATAGTCCACTTTGGCTAGAAGGATATATGAAAGTTCAAAACATAGCATGTCCCAAAAGTCTTAGTGCAGTTTGAATGCATGAATAGCTTAAAACTGCACTAAGACTTTTGGGACAGCCTGTATCTTGTGAAGGTATACTGTGAAGTCAGAATGTAGTATACTTTGAATCCCCAAATCAGGAATTGACATTATATTGATTATGCAAAGGACAGAGACTTCATGTTTTTAAATGAAGGAAAATGACATTAAAAGAACTGTGCACTTGCTAAAATTTTTTCACTGGTTACAGAAAGATCTGTTATTAGACAGACCACTAGCTGAATATCTTTACAATAAGATTTCTCGATATTATTACAGGATTTGGTTAATAACTGAATCATAAAATGATATTAGTCCCAGCAATGTTATATGACACATGCCCTCATCTGACTTCTCACACATTACCATCAAAACTGTTCTTATTTTTTTAGAATGACACAATGTCCATTCAAAAGAATAAGCTATGCCTAGTGGTCAGCCAACTGATAACCAACATTTTATTTCCTTTTGATAATACAGTAATTGAGCCTCACTATTTCTAAGTATTCAACATGTTCTGGTCATGGAATTTAGTCTAGTGATCTGTTATACAGTAGCATGTATTAGTGTTTTACATGAATTTGGTATCTTCCTCAGGACCTAGCATAAAGCACAGGACTCGGGATGGTAGGAGTTCAATAAATATTTGTTGAATACTGAATGAATAAATGGCATATCGCCCTAATATGCATTCACATTTAATAATATATTTCTGTATTTAAAAATTTAGTTTTCCAATTTTTTCCTTCTTATTGAGAACTTAGCAAGTACAATGCAAAAAACTGCTTAGTCATTAAGTCATGTTTTGGTTTTAAACAGTAATATAGTAAAACCAATTTCTTTCATTCCTTGAAAAGGTCTTTCAGCTGGGAAGACTTGTATGAACTTCACCAGAGTGAAGAGAGCAGAATCCACTCACTAACTTCTTGTAGTCCAGTGGGTTTTAACCAGTTTTTTTTCTCTCGTGGACCCCTCTGATAATTTGGTGAATTCTAACACTACTGGAGTTTGTCATTCATGACTGAAGGAAATGCTAAATTTCAGTTACAGGTTAGTGGAAATAAAACTGTTTTTTCCCAATCCAAATTCACAGATCCTCTTAAATCTATCCACAAACCACAGGTTAAGAAAGCCTTTCTAATATGGCAGAAAGGGAAAACGACAAATGTTGGAGGGGATGTGGGAGACATTAAGGCACCACTGATGGAGTTGTGAACTGATCCAACTATTCTGGAGAGCAATGCCCAAAGGGCTACAAAACCATGTACCTTTGATTCAGCAATACCATTACTAGGTCTGTATCCCAAAGACATTTTTAAAAAGGTGGAAAGGAGCTGTTTGTACAAAAATATTTATAGCAGTTCTTTTTTGTGTTGGCAAAGAACTGGAATTTGAGGGAACGCCCATCAATTGGGAAATAGCTGAAGAAGTTGTGGTATATAATTGTAATAGGATACTATTGTGCTATCAGAAATGATGAGCAGGATATTTTCAGAAACATCTGGAAAGACACGAACTGTTACAAAGCGAAGTGAGCAGAATTAGGAGAACATTGTGCATAGTAACAATAATACTGTATGATGATCAACTATGAATGACTTAGCTATTCTGAGACATATAATAACCCAAGACAATTCCAAAGGACTCATGATGAAAAATGCTATCCACCTCAAGAGAAAGACCTGATGGAGTCTGAATGCAGATTGAAACATACTATCTTCACTTTCTTTATTTCTTTTTATATTTTAGTCTGTTTTCTTTCACAATTAACATGAAATATGATTAATATGGAAATATATTTTGCATGATTGCACATGTATATAACCTATATCTAACTACTTACTATCTCAGGGAAGGGGAAGGTGAGGGATGGAGAGAAGTCAAAATTTTAAAAAAAAGAATGTTAAAATTTTTTTACATGTAACTGGGAAAAAATAATTTTTTGTTTTTAAAAAGAACTCCTGTCTTCATGGGTCACCTGGGGCACTACGAGATGAGTGACTTCTCAGGGTTATATGGACAATCCATGCTGGAGGCAGGACTTGCCCTCAGGTTGAAGTGGCACTGGGGTCATTCTTTATCCAGCATGCCATGCTTCCAACCACTAAGCACTATAATAAATTCTAACTAATAATTAAAAACCAAAACAATCTTTAAGTGGAAAAAATAATATAATCTATTCCAGTCATGCAGAAAAGAAAAATCTGAATCAAGCTAATGGAGATAAACTGGAGATAAATTCAATAAGCAGAATTACAGAAAGACAAATTATTCTGACACACAAAAACTAATGTCTCTAAAATGAAAAGAAACAGATTACTAAGAAAAACAAAAGGCCTAACATCCAGAATCTATAAAAACAAAAAGTGATACACACTGATAAAACTAATGCACATTCCTCATGGAGCTAAGACAAAAGGAAATGAACAGACAATTTTAAAGGAGAAATTACAAATAGTTAATAACAAATGAAATGTTGCTCAAATTGCTTACCTAAATAATAGCCAGAAAACTATAAATTAAGACAACCTTAAGATACTATCTTTATAATACACTTAATAAATTTATAAAATGACAACAACAATAAAAATTCCACGTTGGCAGGATTATATGGAAACAGGCATCCTATAACATAGGTGGGAATATAGACTGGTGAAAACTTTCTGGAACTCACTATGGCAACGTACAACAAGAACAACAAAACTGATGATTCTGGGACCCAGCGAGTCTTTCGCTGGAGCTTTATCCTAAAGATGTCAGTAAGCATTGATAAAGTGTCTGCTCTGTGCTAGGTGCTGGGAGTACAGATACAACAAAGAAAATCATCCCTACTGAGAGATAATAAAGTGATAGAAGAACAAAAATTTCCTTTCTTTTCTTTCTGTTTTTCTATCATTTTGCTCTTTCTCTTCTTTATCCATCCTATCTGTGACTCTTCATCTCAACATCTTGCAAAAGTCCTTTTTTGTCTGATCTTTTCTTCCTCTGACATATTTGAGAAGTAAAAGTATAAAAAATTAATATACAAATGTGACTTTGCCATTATGAATGATAGTTAAATTTGCTAGCCACTGGCACACCTCCCATGAATAGACAGGTGCATGGCTAGGACCTAATCAGGGCTGTAGATTAGAAGTTCCCAGGATACTCTCTTATTTATATTTAGAGGAGAAAAGAGAAATGGGAGAGGAAATGGCAAAAAAGGGAAAGGGTGGTAAAGAGTAAGAAGGAAAAGAAAAAAGAAAAAACAATAAAGGCGGGCAGAGAAAAAAGGACAAATGGAAGGACATAGCAATATCCACCTAGGTTTCCAAGTATGCTTTAACTCCCACTTCAAAGAAGTCAGACCCAGTCAAAACACAGAAATTCAAGTCATACTTGGATTTAAACAAAGCTATCAAGTGCTAAGGACTTGTTACTCCAAGGACTAAGTTGGAGGAAAATGGCATAGGTTCATTACTTGAAATGAACAGTTTATCATAAAAGTCATATAGAAATAACTACAAGCAAGTTTATAATATTAAGTAAAACGGGATGTTAGGGATGGCTTTAAAAACTAGAGAAGTAGTTCAGTATGGGATCAGAAATTAAACAGTCTGAAAATCCTCCCAAGTTCAATCAAGATTAAGACCCATATTTCCTTACCCTGACGAAGATAGTAAATCACTAAGTTTAGTCTAGCTTCAGGAATAACATCAACCAGGGGAGGCAAAACCTGCAAAGCACCTTCACCGCCTCGGAAAACAACCTACAGAGAAAGAAGTCAGGTTAAACTGGCAGCAAGTATAGGGATGGAGGGAGGGAATGCTGGGGCAGCTAGACTGGGGGAAAAAGCTTCTACATATTCCTGGACAAAAGGTATCTAAAATAACTTCAGAATACTTGGATTTATGGGGAAATAGTTTACCAATTATTTAAACTGAGTATTATTTAGCTTCTGTCACTCTTTTTTCTTTTTTTTGTCAGCTTTTTGCCCTGTCAAACTTAAATGTTTCATTTTTTAAGATTACCCTACCTAAATTCTTGGAAACTCATTAATCTAAATAAGTATATGAGAAACAGAATAAAACCCTAGGGCAACTTCCTTTCTTATTACAGCATCTATTCCTTCCTGCTACCTAACAAATTCAGAAAATTATCTTCCTTATATCTGTCCATAGTTGGAAACGGTTTGAAGTAGATGGTCAAATGGTAAGTCCCTTTATTTATTACTTGTGGCCCAGACTCACTCCTCTCTAAGAATTAAGACTGTAAAATATATGGAAATTGTACGGCTCTTGGAAGAAGAGTGGCATTTTGGGGGTAAACAAAAATGTGAGGATGGGGAAAAGAACAATTAAACAAAAAACATCTCTGAAGTTACTTTAGTAATTCAGGAACAGAAAAATATACTATAAACTTGATTTGGTCATAGAATTAACATGTTTGGTAACAAAAGCCTGCTAGGTGAATAAAGAAATTTAGGTTGTAGTACCAAGGCTCTGCTACCACAGCTTTTTAACCTTGAGCTGGAAAAAGCAGGCCTGCATAACATACAGCCTCCGCGTCACTTGCAGCCCAACAAAGGATTTCAGGTGGCCCCTGAAAAAAAACGTAGGATTGCCACTGAACATTCTCCTACTTGTCACATGACCTGTGGCAACCAACCATTGTCAGTCTGTCTCTAGCCTAACCTATCCGTGGCATGAAAAATTTAGCCTATTTTAATTTTGGCCCCTACCTACTGCCAAGTTGTGCAGGCTTGCTTTAAAGGTTACTGCTCTGGAGGATCTCTAGGTTGAATTGCAACATATTTAGGGGGAAAAAAATGAATGGCAATTCTACTATATTCTAAAATTTTAGTTTATTATAAATATTACTACTTTAAAATCAATATGTATATTTTTTGGAGTGGGGTTGTCAGTAGATAATGGAATTTACTTTCAAAATATCCTGTATGTTGGTTGGTTTCAGTTTAAATGAACTTAAGACTTTTTCTTATGCTTTTGTTCATACGTCTGAATTGCTGAATATACCAAGTACTTGTCAGTAGCAATCAAAATAAAATTTATATTTGAAGTGTAGTTTTGTTCAGACAAAAGTTACAAATTTACTAGTTGAGTTTGCTTTTAAAAGTTTTAAATTCATTTCAAATGGAGGTACAAGCTGCCAGACTTTAAGTAATCCAGCATTTCTTAGTTTTTGCCACTTTTTGAGAAGCTGTAAAAAATGACGATAAGAAAAACATAACTGTACTAAAACAGGAGTTGTCAATAAAAATTATATCTATAGAAATATGTCTTCTGGACCTCTGATAATGTCTTCCACAGTGTTGACGTGAAAATTCCTGCTTTTCAAAACTAACATCTATAGGAGGATAATCCCCAAACCTGTATCTCCAACTCTAACCTTCCTCTAGAACTCTATCTTATTTCCAATTCATCATAGTCTCAAAATTACTACCCCTCCTTTATTAATTTAATTAATGATACCATTATTTTCTCAGCTACACAAGATCAAAACTACAAGTCCTTCCATTTCCTCTACACCCAACAGAACATTAATTCTTCCCAGTATCTTTCCCAAGTATTCTTTTCTATTTTTATCCTTAACTCCTTAGAAAAGATCCTCATTTCATGTCCGGCTCAGCCAGGTCTCCCTGTCCCTATTATTTTATCTTTTGAACTAAATTATAAAAATTAAGTCAGATTAATCTTCCTAAAGCAATGCTCTCATTACATATCACTCTACCACCCAAAAATTTGCAATGGATCACCAAATTGTACATGTTAAAAGAATAAATTTCTTAATCTGTTATTTAATCTGCAGTTGTCCATATACTATCTCCCAGTACTATCTCAAAACTTTGGGAATTTATCTCATATCATTCACCAATCTGGCCCCAATGCACCTTTCTAGGCTTATCATTAGCCTCAATATTAAAAATTTCTCTCACCAACCAAACTGCTTAAGCCACAGCTACTCAGGATTTGTGCTTTCTTACCTGTGCATTTATGTATTACCATTTCTCTGTACCAGAACGTCCTTCCTATTCCTCTTCACCTACTGAAATCCTACCCATCATTCTAAGCCCAGCCAAGTCCCAAGTTGCCAATAAAATCTTCCTTCCTAAATTATTCTCATCTACACTGACCTCTTATATTCTCCTCTGAATTTATAGCACTAAACTGTTTATGGAAGTAATTTGGAAATTAATTATTTATAACTGTGTGTACTATATCTCTTACATTACCATCTTTGGTTGTTATTAAACTTGTCATTGTGCATTAGTCTAGTCTAAAATCATAAAACTTGGATTCTACTGTCTGCTCTGTCCCTAGCTAGATGGGTGATGTACAAATCACTTAACTTCTCTGGGCCTCACTTTCCTCATCTAAAAAATAAGGTAGCTGAACTGATTCATCTTTAAGTTCCACTTCAGTTTTATATTTCTACAATTCTAAAGAGGGAGCCATCAAAGTATCAAATATGTAAGAACGTGAGAACTGAAAAAAGACACTTGGGCCCAGGAAGAAGGTACCAATCATTTTTAAGAGTACAGTTTCAATATGGTGGTTTCAGCTGCAGCCCTCTAACTGTTCCCTAGGCTACAAACTTTGTGGGTCCTCTATCTCCCAAATACAACCAATCCCCATGTAAATTTTGTTTTAATGTTTCTTGTATCTGTCCTTTTCTATTTATACTGCCAGAACACTAGTTTGAGCCTTCACCTCACTATTGCTAGAGCTCCTTAACTGGGTTTCCTGCTTTCAGGTTCACATGCAGCCAGTTTATCTCACACGTTATTAGATTAGCCTTCTTAAATAAACATCATATCATTATCTAGTCAACAATCTATAATAGCCTTCTGCTATAGGATTGATACAAATTCCTTAGCTTGTTTAAAAAGGGCATACCATAATGCAATCCCAATTCATTATACAATTTTATTTCTCACTCCTCCCAAATATAAACTTTTTCTTCTAGTAAACCAAATCTGCTTACTGTCCTTCATGAAGATAATTGTTAATCTTTCCTTTGCCCTTCTGATTATGCCATTTCCTTTCTTGGAACGCCTCTTCATTCCTCTCCAAATCTCATCCACCTTTCAAATTCTACCTCTATGATAAAGCCTTCTTTAATTATTCCAGCATACATTGATCTTTCTATATTTAGCATCTACTACTATTCTCTTCCTTAAATTATTTAATTATTTCCTATGTGTACATAATCACTGTAAGACTGTGAGGTTCCAAAGGTAAGTAAACTATATATTAATACTTCTTTTGTATTTCCCCTCCCCACAGCAAATTACTCAATGTAAATTTATTAGTTTCTTGGCTTATAGTAGAATGCTATTTGCTTGTGAAATTTCCTGCACAGATTTATGTGTGTAGGTGTGTACCCTTCCCTGACAGAATACAAGCTCCTTGAGATGAGGGGCTGTTTCAATGTTGTCTTTGTACTGAAAGTGCTTAGAATTGTGCTCAGCACATAGTAGGTGCTTAATAAGTTCTTAATGATTGAAGAAAAATAAAAGAAATTTTCTGCATATATCCTTTTATAGAATAGAATGTACTACAGTAGGATAGAAGCCAATTCATTCAAAATTGGAACCCATTATTTACCAGATTGTGCTTGATAAGTTCCTTTGCAAATTCAAAGGAAGAAGAGGCATTGTCCATTAGGCTCTTGAGTTCTGCCTAAAATTCAAAAAAGACATAATTAAAAAAAGCATAAAAATATACTATTAGTGTTTTATTTCCTCACCATCTTATTATATCCTTATAATGCCTTATAAAGTACTTTCATTTATATTGTCTTATTTATATATGTGTGTGTAGGTGTGTCTGTGTGTGTGTGTATATACACACACACACAGACACACACACACACATATATATATGTATGTATACACATACGTATGAATGTGTGTGTGTGTGTAGATACACACCACAACCTTCAGAAGTAGGTAGTAGTGGTATTAATGTCTCCATTTTACAGATAAGAAAACAGGTTATATGTTTAGCAATTGGCAGAGCTGGAACTAGGTATGTTTGTTACTTCTTAATCTAATTACAGATCTGGACCTGTCCATTAATGTGGTCAAAATCTCTAACATTTCCTCAACCATTCATTATTCTCTTGTCCATCAATCTCTATCTACCTTATTAGCCAATCTGGATCCCCATGATCAGCTATGTCAACAATGTATCCTAGAATCCTTTGCATGATGTTTTGTCATACTTGTTTATTCCCAATCCCTGGGAACTTCTACTGTCTTCTTAATTTTACCCATTAAATACAGGTGTTTCCTATAATGCTACTCCCAAATCCTCTTCAACATCTCTACTACCTCTGTTTACTTTATTTAATTCCACTGATTCATGTATTCGCTCCTCACCTGTTTCAGAGAAGTATCCTTCCTTCTTACCAAAGCTAACCTTTACACCTATTACCTTGATACTGTCCCTTCTGAGACTCTGGTCTACCAGAGTCTAGCCTCTAGCTTCATCTTCATTCTCTCCTTCATTTCAATGCCAAACTTTTTGAAAAGAGTAATCTATCTTTATGCCTCTGCTTTCTCATCACTTGTTTCTTACTATCTTGTGATCTGGCTTCTCCCCCCTACAATTTTACTGAAACTGCTTGAAGTTAACCAATAAACTCCTAATCATAAAATCCAATGGCTTAAAAAAATAGGTTGCAAAATCACTTATGAAGACTTTTTATTTAATCATCTTTTTAAAAAAGTATAATTTTTAATTTCAATATTCTTTTAAATTATTTAATATTCTTTTAAAATTTTGAGTTCCAAATCCTCTCCCTCCCTATAACCCCTCCCCCACCCACTGAGAAAACAAGTAAAATTATATTAATTATATATGAAATCATGCAAAAATCATTTCCATATTAGCCATATCTCAAAAAAGAAAGTGAGAAAATTACATTCCAATTTGCACTAAAAATTCATCAGTTCTTTCTCTGGAAATGGACAGCCTTTTTTCATCGTGAGTCATCTGAAATTGTCTTAGATCGCTGTATTGATCAGAGTAGCCAAATCTTTCACGATTATCATTAAAACATTGCTGTTACTATGTAATGATCTCCTAGTTCTACTTACTTCACTTTGCATCAGTTCATATAGATCTTCCCCCCTCATCATTTCTCATAGCAAAATAGTACTCCATCATAGTCATATGCCACGACTTGTTCAGCTATTCTCTGATTGATGGACAACTCCTCTAGCAGTGGTATTACCGGGTCAAAAGGTATGCACAGTTTTATAGCTCCTTGGGCATGGTTCTGAGTTGTTCTAGAGAATGGCTGGACCACTTCACAAGTCCACCAATAATTTATTAGTTTACTTATTTTTCTTCATGCCCTCCAGCATTTGTCATATCTGATTGGTGGGAGGTGGGTACCTGAGAGTTGTTTTAATTTGCCTTTCTCAACTGGGAGAGCAAGGAATAGTTTACCTATCAGATCTATGGAGAACAGAAGAATTCATGACCAAACATGAGATAGAGAACATTATGAAAAGCAAAATGGATAATTCTGATTACATTAAATTGAAAAGTTTTTGCACAAACAAAACCAATGCAACTAAAATTAGAAGGAAGGTAGAAAATTAGGAAAGAATTTTTACAACCAGTCTCTCTGATAAGGGCCTCATTTCTAAAGTATATAGAGAATTAAGTCAAATTTATAAGAATATAAGCCATTCCCCAATTGATAAATGGTCAAAGGATATGAACAGACAGTTCTCAGATGAAGAAATTAAAGCCATCTATAGTCATATGAAAAAATGCTCTAAATCATTATTGATTAAAGAAATGCAAATCAAAACAACTCTGAGGTACCACATCACACCTACCAAATTGGCCAACATGACAAAACAGGAAAATGGTAAATGTTGGAGAGGATGTGGGAAAATTGGAACACTAATGCATTGTTGGTGGAGTTATGAAATGATTCAACCATTTTAGAGAACAATTTGGAACTACGCCCAAAGGGCTATAAAAATGTGCATACCCTTTGACCCAGCAATAGCACTTCTAGGGCTATATCCGAAAGAGATCATACAAATGGGAAAAGGACCCACATGTACAAAAATATTCATAGCAGCTCTTTTTGTGGTGGCAAAGAATTGGAAATGGAGAGGATGCCCATCCACTGGGGAATGGCTGAGCAAGCTGTGGTATATGAATGTAATGAAATACTATTGTGATATAAGAAATGATAAACAGGCTGACTTCAGAAAAACCTGGAAAGACTTGTATGGTCTGATGCTGAGTGAAATGAGCAGAACCAAGAGAACGTTGTACACAATAACAGCCATGTTGTGCGATGACTAATATTGATAAACTTAACCCTTCCCAGCAATGCAAGGATCTAAGACATCTCTAGAGGCCTCGTGATGGAAAATGCTATCCACATCCAAAGAAAGAACTGTGAAAGTTGAATCGCTATTTTTTTCTCTTCTGTTGAGTTTTGTTTCCTCTTTCTGATGGTTCCTCCTATTGGTTTTAATTTTTACTTACAACATCACTAATGTGAAAATATGTTTAACAGGAATGTAAATGTATAGCCTATATCAGATTGTGTACCGTCTCGGGGAGGGTGGTGGGGAGGAAGGGGGAGAAAAATTTTTATGGAAGTGATTATTGATAAATAAAAATAAATTAATAAAATTTAAAAAAAATTTTTTTAAATGGCAAACAGGGGAAAAAAAAGAAAGAATTTTGTTTGCTTTAAGGATTCCTCAGGTTCCCAAAACATTTCTTCAGATTAATTTAGAAATAAAAAAGGAATCTGCTAAAAATAAAAAATGTAATCCATTAATAAATAATGAATGTATAGTTAAAAAAAATTTGCCTTTCTTTAATCAATGGTGATTTAGAGCATTTGTTCATATGACTATAAATATCTTTGATTTCTTCTTCTGAAAACTGACTGAAATCCTTTGGCCAATTGTCATTTGGGGAATGGCTTTTTGATAAATTTGACTCCACTCCCTGCATATTGGAGAAATGAGGCCTTTATCAGAGAAATCTGCAATAATATTTTTTATATTATTCCAATATCTATGGTACCTTTTAGAAAAATGTAGTTTCCCTGATTATCTTTTTAATTAGCTTTATTTTTGCTTTGTCTGAGATCATGATTACTACTCCTGTTTTTTTAAACTTCAGCTTCAGCCCTTTATTTTAACTGTATGTCTTTCTATTTCAAGTATGTCTTTTGTAAAGAACATATTGTTTCTAATTCATTCTACTATCTGCTTCCATTTTATAGGTGAGATCATCCCATTCACATTCACAGTAATGACTACTGTGTATTTGCCACCATTTTATTTACTTCTGTTTACCATTTTCTCTGTTTTTATCCAGTCCCTCCCCAAAATTTTGTTTTGCTTCTGACCACTGCATCCCTTAATCCACTCTCTCTTTTATCATTTCCCATCCCACATTTTTAATCTCCTTCCCCTCTTATTTCCCTATTAAATGAGATCGATTTCTATACTCAACTTAGTGTGTGTGTGTGTGTTTGTTTATTCTTCCCTCTTTGAACCAATTCTGATAAAAATAAGGTTCAAGTTGCCCACTATTCCCCCCACCACTACAAAAGCTCTTACTTACCTACCTCTTTCATATGAGAAAAATTTCTCCATTCTACCTCTCCCTTCCCCGTTCTCCCAGAGCATCTCTGTTTCTCACCCCTTCATTTTTTGGGGAAAATTTTTGGAAATCATCCCAACATAATCAACTCACACTCATACCCTTTGTCTATGTAGACTCCTTATAACTACCCTAATAATGATGAAGTTCTTAGGAGTTACGTGTATCATCTTCCCACATAGGAATACAAACAGTTTAATCTGAGTCACTTCCTATTTCTCTTTCATGTTTATCTTTTAATCCTTTTCACTAATCTTACCTTTGAAAGTCAAATTTTCTATTGAGTTCCGATCTTTTCAACAAGAATGCTTGAAAGTCCTCTATTTCATTAAATATCCATTTTTCCCCCTGAAGGATTATACTCATTTTTGCTGGGTAGGTTATTCTTCATTGTGATCTTAGCTCCTTTGCCTCCTGGAATATCATATTCCAAGCCCTCCATTCCTTTAATGTGGAAGCCATTAAATTTTGTAGCAGTGATCCTGTCTGTGGCTCTACGATGTTTGAATTATTTCTTTCTGGCTGCTTGTAATATTTTCTCCTAGACCTGGAATTTGGCTATAATACTCATGGGAGTCCTCATTTCAGGATCTCTTTCAGGAGGTGATGGGTGGATTCTTTGAATTTCTATTTTATTCTCTGATTCTAGGATATTGGGGCAATTTTCCTTGATAATTTTTGAAATATAATATCTAGGCTGGTTCTTTTATTATTATGGCTTTCAGGTAGTCCAATAATTCTTTTTTTAATTGATAAATAGTATTTTATTTTTTCCAATTACTAGTCCAATAATTTTTAAATTATCTCCCTTCAATCTATTTTCCAAGTTAGTTGTTTTTCTGATGAGATAGTTCACATTTTCTTCCATTTTTTCATTCTTTTGACTTTGTTTTATTGTTTCTTGAAGTCTCATGGAGTCATTGGCTTCCACTTGCTAAATTCTAACTTTTTTTTTTTTTGGTAAGGCAATTGGAGTTAAATGACTTGCTCAGGGTCACACAGCTAGTGTTATGTGTCTGAGGCCAGATTTGAACTCAGGTCCTCCTGACTCCAGGGCCAGTGCTCTATCTACTGCGCCACCTAGCTGCCCCTAAATTCTAACTTTTAAGGCATTATTTTATTCAGTGAGCTTTTTTATCTCTTTTTCCATTTGGCCAATTTTGCTTTTTAAAAAGTTATTTTCTCCAGTATTTTTTTAGTGCCTCTTTTACAAAGTTGTTAATTCTCTTTTCATAATTTTTTTGCATCACTCTTATTTCTTTTTCCAATTTTCCCTCTATCATTCTGTTCTTTAATACTTCCAGGAATTCTTGTTGGACTTGGGTCCCATGAACATTTTTCTTTGAGGCTTTGTTTATAGTTGTTTTCTGCTGAGCTTTTGTCTTGGTCTTCCCTGTCACTGTAGTAGCTTTTTATGATCAAATTCTTTTTGTTGTTGTTTGCTTTTTGTTTGTTTGTTTGTTTCCTCATTTTAACAGCCTATTTCTTGACTTTGAACTTTATTTTAAAGTTGGGATCTGCTCACCTGGGGGTGGGAAGGCATTATTCCAATCTTCAGGCTTGCCATGCGGCTGTTTTCAGAGCTAGTTCTGGAGGATCTACAAGTTTTTGGTCCTTCCAAGGTGGTGTGATCCAGGGCTACTTGTAGTCACTGTACCCTGGACTGCATTCTGGTCTTCACCCAGGAAAGATCCCTTCTTCCCTGCAGCCACAAGTTGTAAGGCTCCTCTTGGCCCTGGAACTGTGACCAAGGCCCCTGCTCCCTTAAGACTGATCACAAGCACTCCTCTCCACCCTGGAACTGCAACCTAGAACTGTGTATGGGCAATAGAGCTGCTGATCAGTACCAGCTACACCCACTGCCAGCAAAGGGTCCTACCTATAATCTCTTTCTGAGCAGTTGTCCAACTCCCTTACTGTCTTCAAGTTGAGAGCTCCCAAAGTTGCTGCTGCTTGCCGTGGCCATCGCAACCACCTCCAATATCCACCGCTGGTGCTTCTGCCATGCTTCAGGTCAGCTCCCAACCCAGGGTTACAGACCTCTCCTGCCAAACTCTTAAGTTGTCGTAGGTTGAAAAAATGTCTCACTCTGACCTTTTGTTGGCTTTGCTGCTCCAAAATTTGATTTTGATTAATTTATGAATGTGAAATTATTTTAAAGCTCTTTGGAGGGGAATATTTGGTAGGTTTTTGGTTTGATGCCTGTACTCTGCCATCTTGGCTTGCCTCTCCAACGGCCTTTTTTCAATACTCATCTCTCTTAACTTCATTAACCATTTACTGCTTGAAACTCTTCACCCTCAGCCTCACTATGTTGTGGTTTTTCTTATATTCCTCTGCCTCTATAACACCTTCTCTAAGGTGAAACAGGTAAAGGGGAAACAATTGAAATCTGACTATTTTAAGGGTGCCTCACACTCACAATGCATTTGTACCTTGTAAAGGATACATGCCCCTTTCAAAATCTAGTGCATCAGTTTGGACCTTGTAGAGCATATAAAACTTTGTTCAGCTGACTTGCACTTGGTAAAGGACATGATGCTTTGAGTAATTATTTTCATATGAAAATGCAAAAAAAAAAACCATTAAGCTACCCACATGGCATAGATTTTTCTCTGTATATTTTCTCAGTTACTTGCATGGACCATTAGGAAAGCCTAAGAATTTTTTTTGTGTTGTTTTTTCTTTTTTAACTGAAGAACCCTGAACTCCAGAGCTGTCTTCTAGAGATAACTTGGTAAAAAGTCACTGCTTGGTTGTGACCTAACATGCAGAAAAGCAGATTTGGGAAATGTACTGGACAGTCACCACAAATTAGGATGAATGAGGGCTCTCACAGTGGGGATCCAGCCCTTTTACAGAAAGAGTTGTCCTAAAGGATGACCTGCTCTCCCACCTTCTATCTGCGAGGTGGCAGGACCCAGAGGTGAGTCCCTAAGAGAGTTGAACTGGGGGAACTTCTGCTAGTACTAAGGTAAAGGTCCCTGATCTTTCTGAAACAACACCAAAATACTCCAGCTGAAGATTGCAGCTGAGCCTGAAAAGAGAGGCAGTAGAGACTGCAGCCACTCAGGGAGGTCAGTTTGAGAGAGAGCCAGGCAGGCATCAGACTGGATGAGCAACCCAACTACTCACACAGACATAAAGAAGATTCTATAGATAAGGCAAGACCAAGAGAAGTCATGTGAAGCTGCCACAGTGGAAGTACAGTTGCCAGAAGACCTAGCAGACCAAGTTTCTGGGAGTCAAGCTACCTTAGTATAAAGAATGTTAGGACAGGCTAAGGCAGTGAACCCACTTAACCTACTCCCCCACTTTTCCTCCTTCCATTACAGAATTCCTAGATAGTATTTCTGTATTTTTTTCTTGGGCAGCTAAGTGGCACAATAGATAGAGCTCTGGCCCTAGAGTCAGGAGTGAGTTCAAATCCATCTTCACTCTTACTAGCTGTGTGACCCTGGGCACATCACTTAACCTCTGTTTGCCTCAGTTTCCTCATCCATAAAATAGGGATAATAATAGCACCTACCTCCCAGAGTTGTGAGGATCAAATAATAATAATAATATTGATATTATTTATAACAAATAATTATATAAGAATTACTAATGATAATAGTAATATTAATAATAATAAATCAGATAATAATTGTAAAGCACTTAGCACAGTGCCTAGCACATAGCAGGTACTAAATAAATTTATTCCCTTGGGTTTCTTCATGAAAACCCTCTGGGTATGAGGAAAGTCTTTTTACCTTTCTTCCTTTAAACATTTACTTTGTCTTTGCAAACAATATTAAGTACAGACTTACCCAGTCTAGGTGTACTTATTGGAAAAGTGGTTGGGAGGAAGCAATGGGGACAAGGGAGGATGAATCACTAAAGAAGAAAAATAAAAGATTAAACACTGCAATGTATTGCCAGAGCACTGTCTCTGTTGGGGGCTCTGAATTAAAAAGGAGAGCAATAATTACACATCCTTTAAGAAGATTTTTCAGAGCAGGGAAGGAGCTTTTATGCCAGGACACCAATCTAGGCAGTGTGTCAGTGGGTAAGGGAGGTGGGGATGGGAGGGGGTGGGTGAGATAGGTGTGGCTGAACAACCCTGTTCACCATACAACCCCTACCCTTGCTACACTATATTATGATTATAAGAAATTGGTAAGCAAAGTTTGTGGTAATAGTTTGTTTGATGGTGGGAAAATAACTATCAAAATGTAAATAATGTGTAATTTTCTTTTTATGGAAAATTTATGAATGTCAGACCTGTTAGTTTTGATAGATTTGGACATACTGAGAACATCCCTAAAGCTCTGCATTCTCTTTTCTCTATATTCACTTAAGGTGTTATATGATCAGCAAGATGGTGATATGTGTTGTTTTCAACAGAACTTTCCAACTCTAGCAACCTCAAATCAAGAAGAAATACATCATAAATAATAATAAAACTATGGCAACAAAAGAAGACAAACACCTCCACATAAGTTAAATAAAGCCTTTTAAAATAATAGAAGATGGCTGAACTCCTTAAAGCTTCTATTCACCCTAACTACCCCCAGCCTTCCCACAGGTCAAGTAACCTGTACAAACAAATTGGCAGGCTTGTGTCTTAGGCTCCAGGTCTGGTGGTCTCTCTACCCTGTCCCCTTGAAGCAGTGATACAGTCACTCCACACCCCAACAGGTAAAAAGCACTGATCTTATTCAAGAAAAGGCAAGGGAAGAAGGCTCTGGCAGTGCAAAACTGGCAAGAGTAGACTGGACTTCAATGCCCAAGGTCAAAAGACCTATAAACTTAGCTGTCAACCTCAATCCTCTCCTCGTGGAGTTAATAAATACAAACACTGCATCGCAGCCAACTACAAACTGCTCCCTGATCTCATTCTGCCGTTATGTACTTCACCCTCTGCTTCCATGTCTTTGTAAAGCTTGTAGCCCACGTCCCATCTTCCCCTCCAGCTCTGAGAATGGCTAGCATCCTTCGTGGCTCATCCACGGTGCCACCTCCCATGGGAGGACTGACATTGATTCCCTTAGTGTTGGTGTTCCCTCCCTCCTAAAATCACCTGTATTTACTTATGCAGTAGCTACACATACACACAAGGGTGCCGGTGCACGCACGCATGCACACACACGTGTACGCACACACACACAAACACACACACACACACACACACACACACACACACACACACACACCATCTCCCACCCCAGTGGAATATAAGCTCCTTGAAGCCAGAGGCCATTCTTCATAGTGTGTTTGTTTCCCTCATGCTGTGCACATAGTAGGCTGCTGAATAAATGCTTGTTCAGCTGAACTGAATGCCTGCAGAGGATGTTTTCCATGCCTGTAATATACCATTCTCCTCATCTTAGCCTGTTGACATCTTTTTTCCTCTTTCAGGACTCAGCTTAGTAACCGCTCTTTTCTAAGGCTCTCAGATGAACGCATTTTTTCATCCCTCAAATTTCTTTGGAGTATTTTGTCTTATTTGCTGCTTGCCCCTCCCCATGCCAACTTGTATCATACTTAAGTGCACGTTAGATCTGTCTTGGTCGACTGTCTATGCAGTGAGGTGTAGTGGAAGGAGCACTTGGAGAGACCCAGCATTGAATCCCAGCTCCAAGACTTACTGCTTGTGTGACCCTACAAGTCACTGAACCTCTCTTCACCTCAGGTTCCTCATCTGTAAAATGGGGATAGTAAGACTTGAAATACCTAAACTTTAAAGTGCTCAGTCAATGTGAGTGGTTGCTAAACCTTTAAGGGCAGAGACTGGGACTTTTTTTCATCATTATATCCTCAAGACCTAGTACCATGTCTTGAACAGTAGGTGCTTAATAAATATTTGTTAAATGGAATCTGAAAATATACAGTGCTATACAAATGCAAGGTATTATTATTTGTCCTGAAAAAAAAAACACTCAAATACATTTTAACAACCCACAGTCTGCTAAGCACATGTAAAAATACATGAATGAAAGTTCCCTTCAGGAGCTCTGACACACAGACACATTACTACATTTTGGTGTAGTACAACTGTGATAATGATAAAACTACATGTCATTAATCATGAACATGTCCTTTATAAAGAAGTTCTTAAACAACTGAGAAATGTTTGCAGAGTACTTTCAATAAGAATGAAGTTAAAAGCAAGTTTCTAGAAGTACCTCAGCTGCTTTGCCGTTGTAAAGACGGAAATGGTTACAGGCCTTGAGGTTGAGAGCAATGGTGCTATCAGGAATTTGCTGAAGGTAAACAGCCAGCACTTCTTGAGACACATCATAATAATCCAATTTATAGTAACAAAGAGCCACATAAACGTTGAGAGCAAGATATTCCCTGAGAAATAAGAGAGGTAAGAGCATGGATACAACATTCTAATACTACACAGAAATAGGGTTAGAGCGTCAGGATCATTTTTATGGCCCTAGGGAATAAAACCAAGGCAACAAGGTAAAGCAGAGAGGGCTGGCCTTTAAGTCAGGAAGATCTGGGTGCAAGTGCTGCCTCTGAAATATGCTACTAGCTTCGTGATCATTTAATCTCTCAGTGCCCTAAACAATTATAAAGACTCTATAAATTACAAACATAGTGCTGAGCTCCACACCAGAGACTCTTACCTAATTATTAAATCACAAGTTCAGCCAAAAAGAAGAGATCACTACAGCAATTTTAAGTCAAAAGGCATTTTGTGCATCTTTCATGAGCTGAAGGAGGTACAATGAGGAATGCAGAATTGTTTTACAACACAATATATTTATATTTCAATATTAAGAAGCCAGGAGATGACACCTAACAGGGTGGGATGAGTGAAGATGGGACAAGCTTGAATTTCAGACACTATGGTCCAAAGACCTAAATTTAACATCTAGAGTTTTACCATATCAAGATAATCATGCAATAACTACCAAACCTACCTGGGAAGATAAAAAAGGTGGGAGAACCATATTCATTAGGCACTTTGGTTTCAAAACTAATAGGATGAAGAGGTAGGGCACAAACCGGTTATCCAGCAGTATTCGCTTGTAGATATCAATAGCTTCTTGGTAGTGAGAGCGCATATAGTGAATCGATGCCAAACTGAGCTGATCTTCGGTAATATCCTGAAGATTCTGGTGAAAATTCATCAATTTCTTCTCATCATTGAACTAAGATACAATATGATAGAGGAGACTTGTAAGATTCAACTGTTAACAATACCAAATTAATAATCAATTACAGTCAACTATCATATGGGTAGAGTTTCACTTATTCCTCTCACTCTCCTGCATTTGTGTTTCCATCTTCTTCTCTACCTTCCTCATTTTTTTTTCTGTCTCTTCCTTCTCTGTCTTTCATTACAGAAAAAAAGGAAAAAAGAAAAGCCTCTGGAGAATGAGCTTTGCAAATGCAAGTCTATAAAGTGAGAACAAAATATATGTCTATTAATCCTTCTGTCCTTACCTGTTGAGGGCCAGAGCTGAAGAGTCTAATATGGGATAAGGAATTTAGGTTAGAGCTTGACTCTTTCCTTTTCCTACCCATAAGGGCTGAATTATTCAGAATACTTCGCTCACCAATTTCCTGTGCCTGGGAGGTGTTAGAACACTCTGCCCCTTGAACCTTGATGGCAAGCAGGTGTGAACAATTAAGGACTATGAGCATAAGGGCTGGGATTAGTCACAGAAGAATCATGGGAATGCCTCGGGGATGATTGTTAGCTTTCACTATATAACCTGGACCCTCAGAATAATAAATGGCTCAGTCTTTCACTGACCTGCTTGGCCCAAGTCTCTTGATTGCACACTCCTCCGTTCGATGCAACACTTAGTCGAGGGTGACACTTCCCCCAACATTGTACTGTTCTCTTTCATTGCTCCCTTTTGTGCCATTTTCATGTTCTCCCTAGCATTCTCTCCTAACTGGTGGGGGGGCTACAGGCTGCCTAAGGATTAAAGCAGAGGACTATGTGCATCTACTCTTTCAGTTGGCCACTGGAAAGAAGACTTGTCTTTTGTTTAGGAACAGCAAAAATAGTGCTACTTTCTATGGTCTAGCAAAAACACTTATTCTCTCATATCTGGAGTACAAAGCAACTGTTAGGAGGTTTCCTTGAACATTAAGTACAGTAAGAGAGAAAAGTGTAGATAACACCTGAGATGATAACCACTATACTAGAAAGACTCAAATGAGAGAAAGTTCATTAGAGTAAATGAGGTGAAAACTGAGTGGACTTGGCTAAAGAGCTATGGGTTCAAGCTCCTGCTCCATACTTACTATCCAATCCAATCTAAACCAACAAGAATTTATTAAATGCCTACTGGGTACAGGCACTGTAGGAAGCACTAGGAATAAAAAGGAAAGGAAAAGCAGGCCATGTTCTACAGTTTTCATTCTGTTTAACCCATAATACATACAAGCAGACAGAGATAGATAGGTGTGTGTGTATATGTATATGTGTGTATGCATACACACATATTTGTGTACATATACACATAAGCACACAAATGTATGTGTAGGTATATTATATATGATATATGCATCTACATATACATGCACACTGGTTTTTTGAAGAGCACTAACAACGAGGGGAATCAGGAGAGGAATTCCAAAGGCTAGGTAGGAGGCAGCCCATGAGCAGGTTCATGAAGGAAGCCAGAGATTTCAAGAAGTGGAGGTGTGGGAAGAGTGCATTCTAACCACTAGGGGCAGTGTGAGCAAAGGCATGAGGACAGGAGACAAAATACTGAATTTGGGGAACAGCAAGGAGGCCAACTTGGCAGAATGTAAAAGGAAATAATGTACAATAAGCCTAAAAAGGTAAGCTGAAGCCAGACTGTGAAGGAATTTAAATACCAAGCTAAGGAATTTGTATTTTATCCTAGAGGCAAAAGGGATTGATGTGGAGTTCCTACAGAGGCTCATAAGATTCAGGATTCAAAGGAAACTCAAAGGTTATCATCTCAGCCAACTGCTCTATTTCACAGAGGAGAATTTCTCCCAGAGGTCCAGTGTCTTGCCCATGATTATTCAGAAAACTCACCTGTCTATAAATCTGGCTCATTTCTTTCCCTTGAGCTTCAATCTCACAGGATCACAGGTTTAGAGCTGGAAGGACCTTAAAGGCCATCCAGTTCTATCCCTTCATTATGAAAAAGAGGAAATGAGGCACAGAGAAATTAAGGGATTTTCCTGAGGATCACATAACTAGTAAGTGCTTGAGGTGGGATTTGAACCTAGGTTTTTATAACTCCAAGAGGCCAGTGCCTTATCCACTACACCACAACACTCAGAGTCTCTTTCATGGACTGCCTATTGAACATTTCAAATTGGATTTCCAGGAGACAATTTGAACCAAACTTCCCTTTTTCTGTTGAAAGTACCTCTATTCTTCCTTTCTCTTCAGCTCATAATCTCAGTATTGTCCTTACTTCTTACTTCTAAACTCAACTGGTTGACAAATCTTGCTATTTCTACCTCTACAACATCTCTCCTTGCCAGCCCCTTCTCTCTACTCACAGAGCAACCAACCTAGTTCAGGGGCTCATCACTCTTCTAAACTACTGAAGAGGCCTAACTAGTATCCCTGCCTTAACCTCTTCCTCACCAAATCTACCCTCCAGAGAGCTGCCAAAGTAATTTTCCTTAAGCTGAGATCTAACCATGTCATTAAATAAACTCCCATGACTCCTTATAAATAAAGGAGAACTCCTCTGGCTTTGAGAGCCCTTCATAACCTGACTCTAAACTCTCATGCTAGCCTTATCTATCTACACTGCTTACCATCTTGCCTGCTACAACTCAGTCATACTGTCCTCCTAGCTGCTCCTCACATATAGCTCTTCATCTCCCTTCTTTACACAGGCCGCTTCTCATGCCTAGAATGCACTCTCTCCTCACCTCTCCCTCAGTGAATCCCTCACTTCTTTCAAGATACAACTTAAACACCATCTTCTAAACAAAGCCTTTCCTGGCTTCCTCAACTGCTAGGGCTCTCCCTCTCCAACTACCTTGTATTTAGTTTCTACTTATTTTGTATATACTCGTATATGCACATATTGTCTTCCTCAATAGACCATAATATACTTGAAGATAGGTACTGTTACATTTTTTGTATTTATATCTCCAGCACTAATACAATGCCTGACCCATAGAAGGCACTTAATATTAATTTTTAAAAAATACTTATCTGGCTGATTAAGTAATAGCAAGCTTCAGAGGTGGAATTTGAACATTTAACAAGAATTATTTCAGGCGGAGCCAAGATGGTGGAGTAAAAACAGTGACTTGCTTGAGCTCTCCTCCAAACCCCTCCAAACACTCATAAAAAATGGCTCTAAACAAATTCTAAAGCAGAAGAACCCACAAAAAGACAGAGTGAAACAAATTTCCAGCCCAAGACAACTTGGATGATTGATCCGAAAGGTGTTATCACGCCGGGCCGGGAGCTCAGCGCAGTGCGGTGTGGGCGTGCAGGCTGCAGCAAACCTGAAGCAGGCCTCAGAGGACTGAATCTTGGGCAGCTGTGGAGGTTTCCAGACTCCTCAATCCATGAATGCCAAAGACAACTTAGAAGGTCAGTGGGAAAAGTCTGTTTCTGTCGGTGCTGAGACAGGAAGGTAGGATTTCAGCTCCATTCCCCAAGAGCGTGGCCCTGGGGGGGCAGCTGCTTCCCGAGCTTCTGGCCCACAGACTGAGGGGGAGTTCAGTGGCTGATCAGAGAGGAATTGCAGGGATCTCTTTGCCAGTGCTGAGGCAGGAATCTCTTGCTTTGCCCATGTTTGGATCTGGGTCACAGTTCTGGGCGGCAGTGCTGGGGTGAGGAGGAGCGCTGGCGTGGTGGAGCTTGGAGTGGCTGTGGAGAGGAACCCTTCCTCACAGTTACAGGACAGAAAGGAATACTTGTGCTCACAGGCCAGGAAAGGAGTAAACACCTCGCCCCTTATCATACCACCTTGGAAGAACTGAAAATTTACAGGTCCCTGCAAGTATCTCTGAAAACAGCTACACAAACCCCTGAAGCTTGGGACAATACATTCTCCACATTGGAAGCAGACTCTTACCTTAACAAAGAGTTTAAAACTCAAGTAATTGGCTGGGATCATGAGCAAGCAGCGCAAAAAGAGTCAGACTATATAATCTTACTTTGGTGAAAAAGAAGATCAAAATATACAACCAGAAGAAGACAACAAAGTCAAAGCTCCTACATCCAAAGCCTCCAAGAAAAATATGAATCAGTCCCAGGCCTTGGAAGAGCTCAAAAGGGATTTTGAGAAGCAAGTAAGGGAAGTAGAGGAAAAACTGGGAAGAGAAATGAGAGTGATGCAAGAAAATCATGAAAAACAAGTCAACAGCTTGCTAAAGGAGACCCAAAAAAATACTGAAGAAAATAACACCTTAAAAAGTAGCCTAACCCAAATGGCAAAAGAGGTCCAAAAAGCCAATGAGGAGAAGAATGCCCTAAAAAGAAAAATTGGCCAAATGGAAAAGGAAGTCCAAAAGATTACTGAAGAAAATACTTCCTTAAAAATTAGAATAGAGCAATTGGAAGATAGTGACTTTATGAGAAATCACAACACAGTAGAACAAATCCAAAAGAATGAAAAATTAGAAAACAATGTGAAATATCTCATTGGAAAAACAGCTGACCTGGAAAATAGATCCAGGAGAAGAATTTAAAATTATTGGACTACTGAAAGCCATGATCAAAAAAAGAGCCTAGACATCATCTTTCAAGAAATTATCAAGGAAAACTGCCCTGATATAGTAGAACCAGAGGGCAAAATAGAAATTGAAAGAATCCACAGATCTCCTCCTGAAAGAGATCCCCAAAGGAAAACTCCTAGGAATATTGTAGCCAAATTCCAGAGTTCCCAGGTCAAGGAGAAAATATTACAAGCTGCCAGAAGGAAACAATTCAAGTACTGTGGAAACACAATCAGGATAACACAAGATTTAGCAGCTTCTACATTAAAGGACTGCAGGGCATGGAATATAATATTCTGGAGGGCAAAGGAGATAGGATTACAACCAAGAATCACCTATCCAGCAAAACTGAGTATAATCCTTCAGGGGAAAAAATGGTCATTCAGTGAAATAGAGGACTTTCAAGCATTCCTGATGAAAAGACCAGAGCTGAACTAGAAAATTTGACTTTCAAATACAGGACTCAAGTGGAACATGAAGAGGTAAACAGGAAAGAGAAATCATAAGAGACTTATTAAGATTGAACTGTTTACATTCCTGCATGGAAAGATGATATTTATAACTCATGAGACCTTTGTCAGTATTAGGGTAGTTGGAGGAAAAAAATTATATGTATTTATATGTAGATAGATAGATAGAGGGCACAGGGTGAGTTGAAGATTAAGGGGTCATATCTGGAGAATAAAATTAAGGGATGAGGGAGGATTATACTCGGAGAAGAAGAAAGGGAGAGGTAGAATGGGGTAAATTATCTCACAAAAAAAAACAGAAAAGAAAAGGCTCTTACAGTGGAGGGGAAGGGGGGGGAGGTGAGAGGCAATGAGTGAATCTTATTCTCATAGGATTTGGCTTAAGGAGGAAATAACATACACATTCAATTGGGTATGGAAAGCTGTCTTACCCTACAGGAAAATAGGGGGAGAACGGGACAAGACAGCAGGGGGATGACAGAGAGGAGGGCAGATTGGGAAAGGGTGTAATCAGAAGTAAATACTTCTGAGGAGGGACAGGGTCAAAAGAAAGACTAGAATAAATGGGAGGGCAGGATAGGATTAAGGGAAATAGAGTTAGTTTTTCACAACATGTCTACTATGGAAGTGTTTTGCATAACTGCACATGTACAACCTATATTGAGTTGCTTGCCTTTTCAATGAGGGTGGGTGGGGAGGGAGGAAGAGAGAAAATCTGAAACCTAAAGTTTTAAAAACATATGTTTAAAAAAAATGTTTTCACATGCTACTGGGAAATAAGAAATACAGGAAATGGGGTACAGAAATCTATCCTGCCCTATAGGAAAATAGAAGGGGAAGGGGATAAGAGAAGGGGAGAGAGATAGAAGAGAGGACAGACTAAGGGAAGGGCTATTCAGAATGCATGCCATCCTGGGGTGGAGGGAGGGGGAGATGGGGTGAAAATTTGGAATTCAAAAACTTGTGGGAGTGAATATTGAAAACTAAAAATAAATAAATTTATATTAAAAAAAGAATTATTTCAGTTCTGTCTTAATGTGACAAATGGATAGACTCAACTACTGTTTTTCAAATTGCAGCCTAGAAAAGAGATCTGATGACTATAGTTACCACTTGTCTTAATTTTTGTGATCAGCAAGCAAACAATATTAAAAGAGGGCATTTAAAATTATTCTTACATGATAATGGGATCAAAATAGTCATCATAAGAATTTTATAAAATGAATTGGGGTGATAGGAGTTTAGAATACAGCTGATTCAAACTGACTTACTTAACGACTACTTCCCCAAAGAAATAAAACTCCAACATGTATGACTATGTTATAAAGGTAAGGAAATTAATGGAATAAACAATCTTGCATAGCTATAATCCATATTCTACTTGTTTTGAAAAATCAGTGAAAAATTCCATCACCAAGAATTGGCAGGCTTTCTATTAATGCTTATAATGGAAAGAAAAAGGAAGACAGAAGAGGGAAAAATAAAACAATGTACCCAACTTAAGCAGAAATATAATACCTTGTGAGCCAAGTGGAAGAGAAGACGATTCTGGAGTCGGCTTTTGGGAGCTGAAAGAAAATACAGACTAGCTGTTAGAGAACTGAGTGGTACATATGAGACTTACACCTTTGATGGAACAGAAGAACCCCTGAGTTTGTACTTCTTCAACTCCTACCTCTTATTCTCAGAGATCTCTGCAATAATAAAAAATCTTGCAGCTTCAGTACACACCCCCAATCATTATGATAGCATTAGCAGAGGGAGCCAAAGAAGAGATAACCCTTGGACTCAGCTTCCCTTAATCAGATGCTACTGCTGTGGCCCAAAGTAGAGCTCTCCAGGCCCAGTGTAGAAAGCAGAGACATTCTGTTTTATGTTGTTTAGTCCATGCCAAACCATACACTGGCAGCAAGATACAGTCACCTCAGCACATGCATTTGTATTACGTCCTGTGGCTTCTTCCCTATATTCTTTCTTTTCCATCCTTATTCCATAAAAGCATCCCTTTCTAACCTCCACTTATGTATCTTGTATAATCCTTCCATTACTTAGTAAGTGCTTTTCATTTATTCATTCATACCGATATCCCAGTCCCCTGAGATGGATATACAGGAGACTCACAGTCTTCCCATGGAGAGTTTCTTTTCTGTTTCTTATGCTTGAAGACAAACTCCGAAAGAAAATCAACCAACAATTATTTATTGGGAATCTCTAAGTCACTGGTAGGGGAATCAGAGAAGCATGAGACAGAATTCCTGTTCTCAAGGAACTTACAATCAAATTGAAAAGCAAAAACTGACTGCAATAGCCTGTGGGTTGATCTCCTGGTCACAACTGTCTCCTTGCTTCAGTCCACCCTCCACTCAACTGTCAAAATGATCTTCCTACAGTGAAGGTCTGACCGTATCACTCTACTCCGTAAACTCCAGTGGCTTCCTATCACCTTCACTATCAAATAAAATCCACTTGGTTTTCAAAACCCTTCATAACCTGGCCTTCCTTACATTTTCAGTCTTCTTACATTTCACACCTCATCACATACTCTTCAGCCCAGTGACACTGGCCTCCTTGCTGCTCCTCAAACAACATGCTCCATCTCTGGATGTTTTCAATGGCTGTCCCATGCCTGAAATGCTCTCCCTCCTCATCTTGGACTCCTGGTTTTCCTAACATCCTTAAAGTACAGCTAAAATACCACCTTCTACAGGAAGCTTTTCCCCATTCCCCTTAATTCTAGCACCTTCTCTCTCTTGAGTATTTTCAATTTATTCTGTATATTGCTTAGTTGTACACAGTTGTTTATATGTTGTCTTCCCCATAGACTGGGAGCTCCTTGAGGGACTGTCTTTACCTTTGTTTGTATCCCCAGAGCTTAGCAGAGTGCTTAGCACATAGCGCTAATGTTTACCGACTGACATTAAACAATTAGAGAACAATGTAAGGCAGCATGTAAATACTAAATTGTGGTATGGAAAAAGGAAAGCAAGGTCAATGTAAACTGGAGTTGTTACAGTTTTTGTGAAAGACTTGAACTAAAATTCTTTCCAAAAAATCCTCTCAATTCTTTAACATATTCTTCCCCAAGTTAAATAAACATATGCCAGGTATACCGTTCTTGAATTTTCCTAAGTTTCAACTGGTTCTTCTCTAACTACCCTCCACAACCTCTTCCCCCATTCTTGTATGTGTACCCCACATTGAGTATAGTTCTTCTACAATGACTATGAGGATAGAGGTTGGGAGATGAGTTTTTTCAATTTCCTGTTCTGACCCTGCCTTTTAGAAAAGGATAAAGCAGTTATAGAAAAGATAACCACAATATATAGACCAAATAAATTCAACCTAGAGCAAGAATAGTAATATTTTGTTAGGAAATGGCTTGGGAAAAGGATAGCATTGTCCTTTCTGGTCCCCTATACTCATCTTCTCCCTTTTCTGTTCTAACAGCGTAATTCCTATTTCCTTAAATTAGGAAGAAGAAATATTGCCCATTCCCTCTTCCCCTAGATGCTGGCCAGGCCTAGAGAAGTAGAAATAAAGCTTAATTTTGGTACGATGATAATCTTGGAAAAATTATCTTTCTTTAACAGCTCTGTAAGACAGGAAAAGCTGTGTTAGTTGTTATTCTGGTAGCTATTTGAAATAGTACCTGCATCATGCTTAAAAGCGGGGGAAAAAAATCAGCTTTCTCGAACATAAAGCAGCACAAATCCATACTAGCTATTATATAAAACATATATAATCTTACTAATTTATCAAGTAATTTAGTTTCTGGAGATAACAAGTTTTAAAAATCTCAAAAACTACTGCTGCTACAGAGAGAAATATAACTGAATGGCTCATCTCACCTTTAAAGCCTGCTGTTTCTGCTTGTTTATACATCCCAAGAAAGAAGTAGGTACAGGCCAAGTTCACCCAAACTTCAGGATTACAACCCTCCTCCTTTGTCACAGATTCATATTCCTGAAATGCAGGATGTTAAACTGTTATATTTAAGTAATAAAGCAGGAAAGCAACTTACCTTTTAGGAAATCACAGGGTCCCTTGTGCTTTCCTTTCCCTGAGAGGTTAAGCAGCATGCTAGGGTGTAACCTACCTAATTCTAGGAGGAATGTTGCCCCAGTCACCCCAATCTTTTTATTCCTCCAAAATTGATCTAGGGTCACAAGCTGCAGAGATGTCAGGTTGCCAAAATTTTTGGTTTGGCTCAACAAGCTATATAAATGGAAGGCTGCTAAGATATTTTTCTTTTGTAGAAGTAAACATAATAATAATAGCTAACATTTTCATAATGCTTCAAAATTTGCAAATCACTTTACATACATTATCAACTTAGGGCCTCACAACAACCCTCTCTATGAGGTAGATGCTACCTATATCATTCTCCTCATTTTACAGACAAGGAAACTGAGGCTCAGACAGATTAAATGACTTGCAGATGATCACTCAGCTAGTATGTAAAGCAGGATTTGAATGCAGGTTTTTCTTATTCCTTGCACCACCCTGGTCCTAATTTAACTTCAAGATGTAGCTCCTCTAGTACACAGAGAATGCCTCTGTCTTCTCAGTTCAGATCCCTTAAGAGGTAGACAGTATAAGTAATGCCACTTGCACAAGTTCTTAGAGTTAGGGAAAGGATCTGGAGCTGTGACAGATTTGATTCGTAAGGTGACTCCCAGATGAGAAGCCTCCTACACAGCCTGAGCAAGTTCCCTCTCCCAACTCACAGTCTTAGGGAGTTCGCCGGGGTCACACTGCCACCATGTGGCAGAAAAGTAGACTGGAACCCAAGTTGCCCTGGTTTCAGTCGGTTCTCTATGCACTATGCCATGTAGCTTATCAGTTCTTAGCTTTATTTATCTGATAAAGAGATTTTATTTACCACCAAGGTCACATTTTGAAATTCATGTTGCCAACTATGTTTTTCAGATAACCTTTCAATTTCTTAAATCTCTTTTCCCAAATGTCAGTGTTCCTTCTGTTTTCCTTAAGATGTTTCTAGGCCTGTCTTCCCTTTCTTTTCTTTTCTTTTCTTTTTTTTTCTGAGGCAATGGGGTTAAGTGACTTGCTCAGGATCACACAGCCAGTGAGTGTTATGTGTCTGAGACCACATTTGAACTCAGGTTCTCCTGACTCCAAGGCCAGAGCTCTATCCACTGCGCCACCTAGCTGCCCCTCCCTTTCTTTTCCAGCCTCCACAAATAACTAACGACCTTGTTCCAGTCAATTCAATTCAACAAAGTGTTTTCCTGAAACATCTATGGTCATCTTTCTTGTCCTGGTCCCTTTTCTTCTTCAGCCCTGTCTCCACTACTTAATTAAGTCCCCGGTTAATCCTTAAGACCCCTACACCAATTATTAGGCTTCTCAAATATTCCATGCTGTACCTAAAGACCAAGAATCTATGCTCAATTGATTAAATAGTTCTATTTACTAACTTTAAAATATGTGACATATAGCTACCAAACGCCACCCACCATCAGTGCTTATATTCAGAGCCAGAATCCTATGGATTGGAGACATTGACTATATACAACATGAAATAACCAAACAGAATCATTTAGAAGACAACCAAGCAAAGATATACAAAGAATAAAGTTTCAAATGACAAAATATGAATAAATAGCAATAAATATCCTCAAGTGATAAAATTCTGACTTCCTCAGGCAAGAAAATAATCAAGCAAAGTACGAAGAAACAAATTTTCTTCAGATGAAACTTTCCCAAAGAATTTCTAAAAACAAACCACATCTCTAAATTATTTCTTTACTAACCTCCAAAGCTCTCTTGTAGTCACCCAGATGAAAAGCACAATATCCAATCCACAAATCAGTATCCTCATCTTGCTCTCCTACGTGACGTTTGAACTTCAAGATTTAATGATATGGTGAAATAAACATTGAAAGTTAAACCCTTTTAAAAATATTAAGTTAAATTTTCACTTGATAATAATGAATTATAGATGCTGAAGGTAAAACTTACTTTTCATTAAAATAATATTCTGGTAAAATCATTATTATATTATCATATTTATGTAGTGATTTTTACTTAGAAAATACATCTACTATCCTTACAATTCTGTGAGATGAAGAAAGTAGGGTACAGAGAAATCACATGACTTACCTTAGACCATATAGTTGGTTTATGGTAAAACTGGGATTAAAACCCAGATCTCCTGGCTCTTGGCCCATGGCTTTTTCCCACTAGACCATACAATACAAAAGAACATAAGAACTTCCATAAATGGCTCAGACCTTGGGTCCTCTGGTCCAGTAATTAATTTTAAACAGAAGTACAAAGAAATGTTTTTTGGCAGGCCGGGTTGATTGCAAAATGTTAAAGAATATATTCCAAATGTTATATTTTCCATGAAGAACCCATTATCTATCTAGCACTCTCAGACTATGAAAACTTAATTTAAGCTCATTCATATTTCATTTTAGGATGTCAGGATACAAAGCTAGAAGAAACTTCAGAGATCACTAGACTATTCCTTTATTTTACAGAAAAGGCCAGAGACAAAGTAATTGTAGCTTGTATTTCCATAAGTTTACTACCTTTCACATAAAGTATAACTTAATTTTATTCGTGCTAAGTTTATTTTTTTCAAGCTTCAAAGTATTCTCTGTAGTTTCAGAACTCGATAATGGTGCCTATACACATTAAGTCGTTGATCAATTTAGAGTATATCCTCTTAGCCTTTGTCTCTACAGACTGAAGAGACTTAATCTTATATTATTAATATCCTATCCCAACATTAGGGCACTTCTCAACATTCAATTAACATCCCTTCAACTGAGTATATTCTCTGAAAACACTTAGGCCAGCCTGCCAAAATGAACGATCATGGCTTTTATAGCTTACCCATTTAGAAATATAACTAGCAAAGGCAAATTTCAGAGCAAGAGCAACCGTAGTCAAGGGCAAGCAGCCACCAAATGGGACCAAGAGGATGACGTAAGCATGCAAATCCCTTTTGGAATTCATTATGGAGATGTAATACATGCAATTAAGTTCAATTCCTAGAGTAGGAGTAGAAGGAAAAAAAAGTTCCTGCAGTGGCTGAGGGGATGGGATACCCGAGTTGAAAGGGGCCCTGGAGGCCACCGAGTTCAAATCAATGCCTTTAGTGTCCCCGGCTGTTCCTAACTCCCCAGATCCTCCGGGAGGCTTCCTGAAGAGAAGGTAGCACTGTGAGGATTTCTTTCACCTGGGTTGAGGAGGGGAGGAAGGCATGGGCTCCTTGGAAAGAAGGGAGGGAAGGGAAAACCCTGGGGGAGGATAAAGGAGATTTATTCTTGTGAAAAAGAGGAAGGTTCCAGGCTATAATATGCTGCTGATGGGATCTAAATATGCTCTTCTAACACTTTAGCAGGAGTCAGAAATGATACTCTCCTTACCTCCTTCATTCAAGGCTAAAGGAATATAAGTGTTAAATTTTTCATCCCTTTAAATTCTGTTCTATTCTACCCTGAAGCAAAAGAATAAAGGATACATGCTTTCTTTTTTGGCTGATACCAACACTGTCCACTGTATTTGACCTTGGTTTTGTTAAAGAAGCCAAATCTTCCTTCAATTCATTTCAATTTAATTTAATAAGCATTTATTAACTACCTATTATATAGCAGGCATATAGAGTAACCAAACAGTTCCTCTGTGGAAATCTTCATCTAGATGGAAATGTCAGTAATAATTCAAAATCCTCCAGCTCAATGATCACTTCTAATAACATTTAGATCAACTGTTCTGAAATTTCACCAAAGTACTCTGGCACCACTGTTTGCCACTTAATTATTGTAATCTTGTTACAATAACTGGGGTTATCGATTATGTCTAAAATTTCTTGTGTGATGACAATAATATAAACTCCAATCTGTCTGCTTCAGAAATATTTTGGGAATAAAAATGTCCCTATTATTTTCTTTAAAAAATAAGGTAGAGAACTATATATTCAGTCTATCTCCTTTTTACCTCTCATTATATTAATTTTATTCTGATTATCCATCTGATTTTTTTTTCCTTTGAAGCTATGTGACACTAGGAAAAGTCACAAATTTTTTGTCTCTCAGTTTCCTCATCTGTAATAATACTAGAATTAATACTTTATATTTATATAGTGCTTTAAGGTTTGCAAAGCACTTTAAATATATTATCTCATTTGTGAGATAGGTGTTATTTTTATTTCCATTTTTTTCCTCAAGGAGGTTGTGACTTACCTAGATCACTTAGCAAAGTGTGCAAGGCATGATTCAAACCCAGGCTTTCGGGGCAGCTGGGTGGCGCAGTGGATAGAGCACTGGCCCTGAAGTCAGGAGGACCTGAGTTCAAATCTAGCCTCAGACCAAACACTTGACACTTACTAGCTGTGTGACCCTGGGCAAGTCACTTAACCCCACCTGCCTAACCAAAAAAAAAAAAAAAAAAACAAAAAAACAAACCCAGGCTTCCTTACTTCAAGTGCAACATTCTACTCACAACACATGACTAAAGATCTGTTTATTATTTCACAGGGAGGTCCCTAGCTCAAGGGATGAAAGATTGACAATTTATGTAAGGACATGCACAAGAGCCACACAGAATAAAAAGGCACTGGATGGGGGTTCAATCTGTACCATTCATTAGATGGAGTGTCTCATCAATATGACCACATAGTCATCTAGTTATGAAAGTATTATTCATACTATAACTAGAAAAGTGCGAATATTTATTATTGAATTAGAGACAATGAAAACATAAGTGGCACTCACCTTCCATCTGGTGCTTTGTAGGCATAGTTGTTTTTCTGAGTGGTACAAATCTAATTCCTAAATAGCTAATTTTTCATCTCAATCACAACTATCATTGAAGACCTAATTTTTTCTTTTTTAAAAAATAATTTTCTTTTTTGTTATTCTCAACAGAAATGAAAAGCAATAAAATCTAGAGTAGCCACATTAAGTGAATGGTTGTGATGACTTTCAGAGGTTCCTAAAGTGAGTGATACCACCCCCTTGGGGGGTGTGGGAACAATGGGAGGCAGTAGTAGCTTTGGATGCAACTGGGGGGCATTGAATAAAAATAAGCGAGCAGTGGAAACATAAAGAAAGAAGAGAAGAGAATTTTGAAAAACCATTCATACATATTTCATTTGTTGTGACAGAGTTAAAGTTGTAGTGATTACATTATCTTCCAAATAAACACAAAAAAATGCAAGTTATAACCAATCAGTGGTCAAGTCTGCTGACAGGTCTTAACAAGCAAGTGTTGGCAGGTGAATGTGTCACACATTGTCGTGAAGTCCTGCATGCATCAGCAGGAATATGTGTGTGTAATGACTTGTTTACAATATGATACTGTACAGTTACATGATACAATATTGTGTCATCAAAGTTTCAATACAGGAAAAAACCCACAGATTTAAAATAAATTATTAAATTAAAGATGTCATTTAAAAATATCTATATCTATATCTATATATATATATATATATATTTTAAATGATGCAAATTTAAAAAAAATATTTCCAGGGTGGGTCTTGAGTAACTTTTTTTTAAAAGGGGTGGCAGGCCAAATAAGCTTGGGAACCTCTGCTTTAGCAAAAGGCATTAATGTCAACCTATTCTTTTCCTCTTCTAGCTATTAAGTCCCTTTTTCTATATAATACACATCACTTTAGTTGAATTGCAGTTGAATATGTGTATGAACTAACTTAAATTATCCTAGTAGTTAGAAACTATACACTAACCCACAGTAAACTATCCTTTAAATGTTTATTATTAGTTTTTGAATTCCTTGTAAGTTCCTCCTCAAATACTTTTTTTTGACTTGCTTAAGGGAATATCCATATTGATGCAGTATTGAAATTCCAATTTTCACTTCATCTGCTTCTTTTCTCCTCCTATTTTTCATTTTCTGAAAAATTCCTTTTTTTCTGTATGATAGCCTCTGACTCTTGACAGATAACTTAGTCAGTCAACAAGCAAATTTATTAAGCATTTACTATGTGCTAGGCTTTAAAAGAAGGAAAGAATGTATCTGGATTGGGAAACAAATTTGGATAGTGTGAGTCTGACAGGAGAAGCTGTTGATAATTTTTAAAAATCCTTTTCACTTATTTATTTATCCCAAATTTCCAATAATTGATTTTTTAAAGTGCCCAGGTTGATTATGGGAAAGAATTAACTTTGATCTATACCTTACACAATACACCATAATAAATTTCATTTGAATAAACAACTAAGCTTTTAAAAATTATTTTTAATCTCTAAATAACAAAATTATTTATCTATGAAAGACATCTTTGATTTAAGAATGGAGGATTAATCAGAAATAAGATTGATTTGTTTGAATATATATGTATAAAATATTCATAAACCAAATGCAATAAATATTAAACAGAAAATAACAAACTGGACAAAGACACATGAGAAACATAACTAGAAGAAAGTTTACTATCTAAATATCTAAAGACCCTATACATAATATTCAGAATCTATCTAATAATGAACAATCAAGGGAGACAGTTTACATAAGCAATAGTATAATATAATTAAAAGGACACTGGCATTAACATTAGTCTTGAATTTCAGTCACAATTCTGCCACTTGAAAATGGCATGATCCCTCTGAGCTTCAGCTTCCTTATCTGCAAAATCTGTATAATAAAATCTACCTTGCAGGATTATTATGAAGCTTGAATGACATCATATAAGTGAAGAGTTCTGTGAACTGTAAATTGCTTTATAAATTATGGTACTGTTAATAGTATCTGGAAATACAAATAGTAATCACTGCAACACTAGCAATGAAAATACGTAATTTAAAATAATTCCCATTTCTACACCACTTTAAGGTACTACGACATGATTTCAACTAACAAAAACAAATAA